AATCTGTAATAAAAGACGTGAGGAAATTCTGTCTTTTTTAAAGACAAAAATTTTTGAGGCGAAATACCCAAAAAGAAGTTTGTAAAAAATGAATCTGCCTCAACAATATAGAACTTATCTACCTACTCTCCGTTTACCATTTGGAAAGGAGCGATTAAGCCAAAGTTAGGCTGTCCGAAATAAACATAACACCAATAAAGTATATATAAAATAATAATTCTCATTATACTACAGTGAAAACTCCGATAAGCGGACAGTCACGGTTCCACAAAAAATGTCCGGTTACGGGAGATGTCCGCATAATAGAGATATGTATTTAATTAAAAAATATTTATTTTCAGCTTTTTTATTGTCTATATATGTTTTATGACATTTTTCAACATAGAAACTTATTGTGCCGGTTTATTAACATATTCAAAAATACTAGTTTGGCGCGTTTTTTGAAATCTTTGTTGAATAATCCAATGCTGAAAATGGGTTTCAAGGTTTTGTTGAAACGCAATAAAATCATCTCCTTGAAAATATTTTTAAAAGGGAAATTGCATTTAAGGCATCATCATACGATTTTCGCCGGTCCATTTCTCAGATTTGAATGTTAACGTTTTGTCTGGTAATGCACGAAAAAAAAGTCCGGTCTCATCTGCGTTGAAAACGTCCTCCGGCTTGTAGCCAAGCAACATCCAGTATCCATGTAGCGAGCCACTCTAAACTCTTTTTTATCTATGTCACTTTTTAGGAAACTCCATTTTTGCCCTACATTGTCACCACACTGTGATTTTGTTCTAATATCTTCTTTTTTTTTTGTTATTTCTGCCGCTTGAGTTTTTCCGATCTTAAATCGCCGTGCTAGTTCTCGAACGGACTCTGTTTCTTTATCTAAAGCATTTAATATTTCCATTTTTTTCTTTAAAAGAAAGCATTTTCTTTTTTGGAGCCATGTTCACAAACACTCTCTATATGTGCTCGAAACTTAATGGCACTATCCTCGATGAATAAAGTAAGTCAAAACATCCTAAACGGGGAATTAAGGAATTTGTGAAAGAATTCCCCGGTTGAAAATTGCTTATTTATGATAAGGGTTTTATTCGTAGACCGCGTTTTGCAGGTTCGTGACCGCTTGAAAGAGCTTTTCAACTCCGTTTGATCATAATATTCATGTCTGCGTCCGTTTAATAGAATGTCCGCTTATTAGAGCTGTCCGCAAGTAGAGCTTTCACTGTAATTGGCTAAAAATCATACTTGTTTATTTTATTTTGTTTTATAAAATAATGGTTTTTTGTCCTGCCATTTTAACGTATTCTTTAATCTATTTAAACAACCACGTTTTCCATGGTTTGTAACGCAGTTTATTTGAAACGTTTTATTTACGTATGAGTCTTACAGTAATGATAATAATTTTATCATACTTTGATTAGTATCTTCCCGGTTTCATTCAGAACATCAATAAATCAATCAATATGCATCTTAAAAATTTGACATAATTTTAGAAATTGCCAAAAAATGGTACCAATCTGTTTAATGATCCAATCGCTCAACATGTTGGTGGTATAAGAACGCCAAACCGATAGGAACTTTTAATTACAAACCGCTACCCTGTAAACATGCAAATTTTTTATAGAATTAACAATAATTTTCGTTTACAGGTGTATGTGTCCAAACAGAAACTGTATTGAGACAAGCTATTGCTGAACGTATTAAGCCCATTCTGTTCATGAACAAAATGGACCGTGCTCTGCTTGAATTGCAATTGGACGCAGAAAAACTTTTCCAAACTTTCCAACGTATTGTTGAAAACGTCAACGTAATCATTGCCACCTACAATGATGACAGTGGTCCCATGGGTGAAGTTCGAGTAAGTGCATTAAATAGTAATATTAGTAGTTTTTTGGTACTCTTCCTAGTTATTCGAGCTAATATAAATGAAGCATACTATAAGTTGGTATGCTTGAACTTGGTTCGATAAAGTAGGGGTCACATTTTGCCCTGTTGTGTTCGTTTAATGTATGCAACAGTTTCCTACAGTGAAACATTACAATACATTTTTTATAGGTTGAAAATTCTTGGTTTCATATTATTTATTTTACTGTATTATTTATTTAGGTCGATCCCAGTAAAGGTTCAGTTGGTTTCGGATCTGGTCTTCATGGTTGGGCGTTCACTCTCAAACAGTTCGCTGAAATGTACGCCGAAAGGTTCAAGATCGATGTCGTCAAACTAATGAACAGATTGTGGGGTGAAAGTTTCTTCAACCCGAAAACCAAGAAGTGGAGTAAGCAAAAGGATGATGATAACAGGAGATCATTCTGTATGTACATCTTGGATCCGATCTATAAAATATTCGATGCCATCATGAACTATAAGTAATTTTTTTAATCCAGTACTTGAGCTTTACATAACCGGTGTTAATTACCATTTTCAGAAAAGACGAATACGAATCACTTCTTCAGAAGTTAGGTATTGTATTGAAACATGAAGATAAGGACAAGGATGGCAAACAGCTGTTGAAAGTAGTTATGCGTACTTGGTTGCCAGCTGGAGAAGCTCTGCTTCAGATGATAGCCATTCACTTACCGTCTCCGGTGACAGCACAGAAGTATAGAATGGAAATGTTGTATGAAGGTCCTCATGACGATGAAGCTGCTTTGGGTACGTAATTTAGCAAACGTTTTTTTATTGAGACAACTTAGTCATTTTGATGAAGAATTTATTACCGCCCCAGTCTGAAAACTGTGAGTGACTGGTACCGACTGATACTAAAATATATGCATATAATTTTTATTTCATCATTACTTCTGGGTAAAAATTTCATGTTTTCTTTTTTTTTCAGGAATTAAAAACTGCGATCCAAATGCACCACTCATGATGTACGTATCTAAAATGGTACCTACATCTGATAAGGGCCGTTTCTATGCGTTCGGTCGTGTATTCTCTGGTAAGGTTGCAACTGGCCAAAAAGCCCGGATTATGGGACCCAACTATGTACCTGGAAAGAAGGAAGACTTGTATGAGAAAGCTATCCAAAGAACAATTCTCATGATGGGTCGTTACGTAGAGGCCATTGAAGACGTTCCTTCCGGTAACATCTGCGGATTGGTTGGAGTCGATCAGTTCTTAGTAAAGACTGGTACAATCACCACTTACAAAGATGCCCATAACTTGAAGGTCATGAAGTTCAGTGTGTCCCCTGTTGTGCGAGTTGCTGTGGAACCTAAAAATCCAGCCGATTTGCCAAAACTCGTAGAAGGTTTGTATGTTTAACTGATTAAATACTCAAATTTTATGTTGCCAATGTTTGGAAATTGCAAATTTGCACTAAATTAAAAAAAAATGTTTCAATTTTCGTAAGTAACCGCCGCAATTTCTTGGTAGGGTTGAAACGTTTGGCCAAATCAGATCCTATGGTACAATGTATCATTGAGGAATCCGGTGAGCATATTATTGCTGGAGCCGGTGAACTTCACTTGGAAATCTGTTTGAAAGATTTGGAAGACGACCACGCCTGCATTCCGATCAAGAAATCTGATCCAGTTGTATCATACCGTGAAACAGTCAGTGAGGAATCCGACCAGATGTGTTTATCAAAATCGCCGAACAAACACAATCGGTAAGAACTAGCAAATACTGAAAATATCCTTCCAGCACATTCAGAGCCACTATATAGTTAATGCAATGGCACTTCGGTGCTGTTCAATAATGATGATATTGTTGGCAGTGCAATGGAAGAAGATAAATATCTGAATAGTTAAACGCTGTTACGGAACCTCTATCTTTATGTTCAGTGGTGACACGCTACGGTATTCGGAATACACTTTTTATGTGATTAATTGAAACATGTCTTAATTTCTTTTTATAATTAGCATACATTGCTCATTTACAATTGTTTTCACTTCTAGATTGTTTATGAAAGCTCAGCCAATGCCCGATGGTCTCGCCGAAGATATTGATGATGGAAAAGTCAATCCACGTGATGAATTCAAAGCCCGTGCCCGTTATTTGGGTGAGAAATATGACTACGATGTTACAGAGGCTCGTAAAATCTGGTGCTTCGGTCCTGATGGCACTGGACCTAACATCTTGGTTGATTGTACTAAGGGAGTTCAATACTTGAACGAAATTAAAGACTCCGTTGTTGCTGGTAAGTTCAAAATGTTTGTGGTTGCTCATTATGTACCAACCGGTTATTGTGACTGATAGATTTAAGAATAGAGATCTTTTGTTGAGTATTGATCCGTTTCAGCATTCCCATGCAGAATTCTTCATATCATAAGTCATTCTGTGCATAAATGCTGATAGATCGTATCCTGTATATCCTCTAATCTATTTCAGTCTAAATAGTTTAGGACGGAAACGCAGGAAACATTTTTTACTTATAGTTCCATATTAATTACATAGAACAAAAGGAGATAAATTTACCAAGATTACTTTTCTCGCAGGTTTCCAATGGGCCACCAAGGAAGGTGTTCTCTCAGAGGAGAACTTGCGCGGTGTTAGATTTAACATTTTTGATGTAACTCTGCACGCGGACGCAATCCATCGTGGAGGTGGTCAAATCATTCCCACTACTCGTCGTTGTTTGTATGCTTGCTTACTTACCGCTTCACCCAGGCTTATGGAACCTGTTTATCAATGTGAAATTCAGGTATGTTACAATAATACACATTAAGCCTTAACCCTTATCGGACGCTGGTTTTTTAGAGGTGATTATTATATCTTTTAGCGAATGTTTATTTTTGCCTATTCATATGTCAACTGATATCAAAAGTCAAAAGATAGGAGCAATTTGCAAATATTTTCAGGTTGCAGCGAGAAATACTGTCTTAAACTGCCGATAAGGGTAAATAATATAAACTTCTTGTTCTCGTGCCATCATTATTCAGTATTCAATGATAAAGCAAAATCTTACAATACTTGCACATGATGGTAGAGCATTTTGTCTTTTTTTCTGATTCTGAACGACTCATTGAATTCTCAGAATTGGAATTGCAAGACAGACATTAATTTTACACAAAACTATAAAGAAAATGAAATATAAGTGTTATGAAGTTGCAATGTATGTGTAAATCAAATTTTCTACTCAGTGTCCCGAAGCCGCTGTTGGAGGTATCTACAGTGTATTGAACAAAAGACGTGGTCATGTATTCGAAGAAATGCAGGTTGTTGGTACTCCGATGTTTGTGGTGAAAGCCTATTTGCCTGTAAATGAATCATTCGGTTTTACCGCTGACCTTAGGTAAGTTAATTGAATAATTTGCCATTACAATTAAATCAAATCCAGCATTACCCATGCAGAGTTGTTGAACTTCAAAATTACTATGTGTATCAATGCTGGAAGAAAATATCCTGTATATCCTCCAGCTAATTGTATTATGGTTTGTCTGGCACGGAAAGGCAGGAAACACTGCTTGTTTCTGTTGTCAACGACACGCGCTTTAACTATCTAGACATGTGTAATTATTAAATTTTAATTGCTTTAATGTTTGCAGGTCTGGCACTGGAGGACAGGCCTTCCCACAATGTGTGTTTGATCATTGGCAAATTTTGCCTGGCGATCCGCTGGAGTCTGGAACAAGACCTTATGGAGTTGTGCAGGTAAATTTTATATGACTCAAGCATATTTGCAATGCATGTCCATCCTTAGACAATGTTTTATATTATTTCCATATATAAAACATTCGCAAGAGATGGTAAATCGACGGTCTTTTAGTTTCGGTTTTAAAGTGATTCGACTTTCTAGCCAGAATAGGGGGACAAACACAATAATTTACGGTTAATACTTTGACAAAACTAATTATTCCCGTAGTAAATGAGTAATTTCTTTTGCAGGACACCCGTAAGCGAAAGGGTCTTAAGGAAGGACTTCCCGATGTTACCCAATATCTTGATAAAATGTAGTAACATACATTACTTTTGTACAGTTAAGGTTAATTTTAGTTTATTTCTACAAAATATTTAAATTAGAATATGCAAATATTCTGATTAACATATTTTATCAGATCAGTGTATTTATCAGTTCAATTTTTTTCACGCAAAATTAAAATCCTCCAGAAACGATTTTGTCTTAATTATTGCCGAAATGATATTAGTTATTACTGAAACATGTTTTTGAAAATTAAATTTAAAGAATCCCAAGTGTTCTACACTTTCAACAATAAATATTCGGTTATTTTAAAAATATTCAGTTAGTTTTCCTGATTTCTGTCGAACAATTCTACACTTTGGAGCCAAGCTGAAAATTCAAAGGTGAGTTGTCTTACAATACTGTTAAATTTATTTCTAAGTTAAAATAAATCTTGCGATAATATGAATACTTTGCACATTTACACGAAATGATGAAAATCTCTAGACTGGAATACTTCATGACGGTCTAAAAAAATGCTCAAAAGGTCTGAAAATGTCCATTTCTTTTCACATTCAAGCATTATAGCGACGTGTCTTTTAAATTTACTAAATTTTTATTTCAGGTCATTCGAACACGAAGCAAATTGACATTCATAGTTAGTGGTGAGTAGTATTTCAGATGTTTAAATACAATTTAACTCGAATTAAAGCCGCGTTAAAGTTGATGAATTTTTTCTAAGACTGGAATCTCCATGACGGTCAAAAAAATGCTCAAAAGGTCTGAATGTTTTCATTTTTTAATCATGTTTTTTGCTGGTTAATTATGTTTCCTGAAAGTTATTTTTATTTCTAGTCGAACATGAACACCACTTCGAAGGTTATGAATGATTATCCATATGGTGAGTAACACTTCAGTTTGAACTGCTTTTGAATTATTTTTCGTATCTTTGACTATTTTGATTAAACAAAATCAGAGTTATCAAAAGATAGAGACTTTCGAGACCATTCGTTGAAACTAGTGGGTTTTTCGGGTTTTTAGGCAGTCGTTTTGCAAGAACGAGTTAGTGGCTTACATCTTCAGAGGTAGTTTGCTTGAACTCTTACACTGTTCTGATGATTGGCATCAGATAAAAGCCCAGTAGTTTCAAAATTAGAGTTAATAATTTCAATATGATGAATAGAATTACCGCCCCAGTCTGATAACTATGATTGATTGGTTCAAATGGATCTGACTATTTTAGATATCATTCTAAACGTTTTGTGGCAACTACACATATTTCAACTTTATATATATTTTTTCTAGAAGTACATTGTTGGTAGCGAGGGAAGGAAGCCTTGAAGATTGTGAAGATTCATTCTGAACGTGTTTGAAATCGAAGTTTTGAGGTAACCCATTTTACGTATTTTAATTAGAATTATCATTGAATGTGACTAAAATATAGGTTGAATTTCAAATAGATGTTTTTTTAAACGGATTCTAAGAGTTAGTGCAGTTTGGTTATTAGTAAGGTGTATATTTTTTAAGCAAAATTCTTTTTGCTTTAATGACGTAATAATTCAATCCCAATCAGCAAACTTGAAAGCAATACTTTTTACTGACTAATGATGAATAGAATTACCGCCCCAGTCTGATAGCTATGACTGATTGGTACAAATGGATCTGACTATTTTAGATACCATTCTTAACGTTTTGCGGCAACTACACATATTTCAACTTTCTATTTTTTTTTGCAGAACTACATTGTTGATAGAGAGGGAAGCCTTCAAGATGGTGAAAATGAATTCTTAACGTGTTTGACATCGAAGTTTTGAGGTAAACCATTTCACGTATTCAAATTAGAATTATCATTGAATGTTACTGTAATTGTACTGCTTGAATATCAAATAGATGTTTTTTGCCGAAAAGATTAGTACGAAAAGAGTGGTACAGTTTAGTTATTGTGTATATTTTCTCACCTATTCTGGATAGTAACATTTTTTAAGCAAAACTCCTTTTTTACTTTAATTTAACAATTTAATTCCAATCAGCAAACTTGAAAGCAATACTTTTTACTTACTAATGATGAATAGCTTTACCGCCCCAGTCTGACATTTATGAATGATTGGTATTACTGAATATTTTATCTATTCTTTTAACTGTTGCACTCAAATTACATGGATTAAACTGTTGGTTTTTTATAGGCATTATGACGGCGAAACATGGCTGATCTGCAGATTGTCCAGAAAATCACCGGTATTAAAGTAAGACATTTTATTTACAAAATAGATATTTTCAGTTTTACTTTTAACTCGTTATACGCGATTACAAAACAGCCTTGGAATATACAAAAAAATACATTTTGATTACTACTTTTTTGCTTTATCACTGATTTTTTTTTCAATCGCGACATTTTAAATCAGATTTGTGCCTTATTTTTGATATTTTGTTGTAGACGTTACTGAATGATTCTGTTTGTTTCTATTTAATCTAAATAGTTGTACCTATATATACATTTAATTTTTATTGATATGATGACGAATATCATACGTAGAGAAGCTGACTTTTTTCAGTGTCAATGTTTGTTGCCAAAAGGATTCTGAACCAAATTAATTGAAATTATTATGTCATCAATGCGCATTTCAACTATTCAATCATGTTTTTGTTATTTTTAGGTACCTCCTTAAACTTTTCTACTCTAAGAGAGCAGCAGTGGAGAAATGGTGAGCTATACTATTTTTTTTTACATTTTTGAACCATGCGTTGAATCGATCAATTAGGTCTTAAGAGCGATTACAAAAATTATTAGTGGAATAACGAGATTTTTTTGTTTACATATTCTTTTCAATCGCGACATTTCAAATCATAGACACCATGTTCCTTAGTTTTGAATGTGCATCTGAATTGAATATTGGATAATCGTCTCGGTAATTGATTTTTATACAAGTTACTGAACGTTTGTAATTTTTTTTTACTATAGATCCTTATTAAATATTATGTTAATTATTATATGGATTAAAATTTTATTGATATGATGACAAATATCGTCGAACGTAGAGATGCTGAATTTCTTCAGTATCAATGTTTATTGCCAAAAGGATTCTGATCGGAGTTATTTGAAAATATCATGATATTAATGAGTATTGCAACTATTCAATAATATTTTGTTATTTTTAGGGACCTTGTTCCACTTGCCAGAGAACAGCGATAGGGAAATGGTGAGTTACACTATTTTTTCGCTTACATTTGTACCCCACACACCTAAGCCGGCCGTCTTCATATATCAAATGGAAATGGTGTGCTCGTAGTGGGAACAGTAATGTCTGTTCTTGTGTATGGTAGATTGGTAATTTCTTCTGATTCTACCAAAGGAAGCTCAGAAACATTTCAACCAAAACAATAGATATTTTTAATAATTTCATTGTTAGTCTCAAACTCTTGGTTTATTGTCTAATAGTGAATCTTCAATTTCAGGAAGAATAAGTACAGCTGAATCAGGTAAAGATATAATTGTTAATATTTATTTACTATAATTATATTATACGTAAATGTATGTTGCTTGTGTTTTTTCTTTACTCCCAGTCAGAGTCCCAGAGTTGGCAAGACTTGCTCTGCTCGAGTTACTTTAGCATGCGTGTGGTCCAAAAAAGGTTATGTGCAGCGGAAGTTTTAAATTGAGTAAATGTTTTTCTAAAGATTTTGGTGTATTGCGGTTTGTAAAAAATGTTGTAAGGTTTTTACGCAATGCAGATAGAGCGGTTGCTTCGGGTTCGATTTACGTTTTTAATTCCTATACGTAATGAGATTTATGGAGCTGTGACTAGTCTCACAATCGCTTTTAGATTAAATTTGTCACCACTCAAAAACGACTTAAGATGCTCATCAGTTAGCTTCATTCATCATATTTGTTTGAGATTAGACCCGGTATTACTATCATATATTAAATTAATTACTTTCCCATCATTTGCGCGTCAAAAGCATTACATTTAACTTTTTAGCAGGCTTTTGTCAAATATTTTTTCCCTGTAAAATGTTTACACCAATTTTGATACCAATAATCGACCTTGCACTGATGATAAGAACTTCATTGCACTTGCTTTTTCAATCATAATTTTTCCCCAAGTTCAAAAATCCCCTCGACAGTGCTTTTTCTCTGGGCTGCCTCTACTTCTAAAGTCACAAAATTAGCATTCGTTGCGAAGCAAGTAGTAGATTTGGCCAATTATTACAGAGATACAACACATTTAAAAAGCTTCTCTTATTTCTCAGACACAAAATATGTTCAACAATGATCTATATAAAAACAGCATTAGTCCTTTAGTAATATTTTATTTTAATGAAATAGTTCAACAACAAATAAAGCGAGTTAGTATTAATTTATTAAATGTACAAGTCCTAATTTATAATGATTCGAATCACTTTTAGCATGATTAAAATGAGAAATTTTTTATTTTCAATAGTAAAATGTTCTGTCATGAAGTTCGTGTGTTATTATGTTATTAATTATGTGTTTGAAATGGGGAAATTCTTAAAGCGACCTGCTAGAATCATATTTTTTATGTTTTACTTTGAGAAGGGCATTACTAATAAATCAATATACTACCATTTAATAAGGAAGTGATTCATAAATACTACTTGTTAAGTCTTAAAAATTAACTATATTTACAATGTAATTTCATATATAAGTATACAGGGTGATTCAAAATTGGCGACATTCCTCTGGAGGTGTAGTTTGCCGCTGAGTACAGGAAAAATAGTAAAATAAATTGATATTAAAAACTGAGAAATTTGCAAAAAAAACTCAGAAATACGGCAGCAATGTTTTTCAAGGTAATCTGCCTAATTAACATTGCGCAAATACCTGTGGCTTCTTAATTATTTAAAACTCCGGTTCCATGGAATTATACAGACTGACAATAAGATAGACAAGGATAAACTGTAAATTCAACATGAGCCGTTGGATGACGGAACCTATTATCGTACAAACGTGGTTGTAATGTAGCCGGTATTTCTTTGGCGTTTGAGAAAGTGTCAGTTGTTGTGCTCTGAGTGCCCCTGGAAGGCCGTGATTCGATTATGTCGAATCAGGGCCTGTGTCTGGAACCCGAACATCTATTGCCGTCCATCATCTTCCTGGAACCACTCTCCTCGCTCTTTGTTGGCGTGAGTTCTTTCAGCTTCTGCTATGTTACTGTAGCATTTCCCCTGAACTAATCGCATATCAGGAAATTCAAAGTGAGTCACAGTTTGACAAATTATTATTGGCAAAGGCTGTCTACCTRTAACTTTCTGTTAATGSCAAAAAACATTATTGCCGCATTGACTTTCCATCCAAAAATTGTAGAAGAGAACTTCTTTAATATTGAAAATTTTCGTAATTTGAAGCAAAGATCGTAATTTATCTTTTGCAATGCTTCAAGTATTCCAATATGCTTCCAGTTAAATATGGAACAATTTCAAAATAATGCTTAATAACAAAGTTGAAATGTGATTTTCATCTTCTTGAAATTTTGGGGAAAAAAATTTCAATATTTTTCTCGTACTCCCTACAAGAGAGCCTCTATCACCCCTTAAAAAGAATGACGCCAATTTTGAATCACCCTCTATATACTTTAATAGATAAGAGTAAGTAACTTTAGATCTGGTCAGTGATAGCTTGTTGGATAGTTCCCGGACACTAAAACTTACGTTTTTATTATTAGTAAACGATCCTTATACAGTTTCAGCAGCACTTTGGCTGCAAACCATATAACTTCTTTCCTAGTTAGTCCAGATACTTCCTCTTGCCAACAGGGTACAGCCTAAATAAAGCAATTATTTAAAACTGTCTTTAAATGGCACAGTAAACTTGCCTTTAAATATTCCGATAGTTTGTGCTCCAGGTCAATATCAGCAACGTCTTTATCAATGAATTTTTCCACGGGAACTGGAATCGCTTGAGAGAAAGTATGAATATTCACTCCATGTTCTTTGTCTCTCAATACCAACAAATATACATCAAACCAACTAAAATAATCGGTTAAATAGAAGACATTGCATTTAAATTATTTATTTTAGAAACTCACCCCTGGCCTTCTTTTAACAAAACACTTTCAATGGCTACAGTTGGAGTCAATCTGAATTTAAAAGAATAGTCTATCCTTTCTTCTGCTAGGATCAAAGCCGATTCAATTCCAATCGCTTGAGACTTCTGAGGTACTGTACCCAGCTTAATGCCACTATAAAAAGAGAACGACGAGATTCCTATTGTTATCGTTTTAAACTTCATTAATTCCGACCTCATAAATAATAAAAAAATTCTAAGGCACATGATCAAATCAAGGTCGAGTATGATCTGGGCCTACATGAAAAATTGACACTTAAACGTATATAATTCGACACTTACTTTACCCATGCTTTACCAAACACGGCATGTGCGGCTTCTCTAACTCCCCCAACAATATCTTCCTCCTCGGACGCCACTGTAATCTCTAAGTCCCCGCTTGAATCTAAATTAAAAATTCCTTGCCTTAACTTCCTCTAGTGCGAATGGGCAAAACGCATGGTTGTATTCTGTTAAGTGCCTACGTACAAATATATTCACTCATCTGCGGATCCAATGTGGTAATAATTGAGTCAACAGAGTGCTTGGCTTTTTCGACCATCTTTGTTACAACTTGGCTGCTAAGGGCGCCTTTGACCATTCCGAGAAAACTACTGGGCGCTACGGCTTCTGCTTCTGGAAGTTGAGCTACTTTACTGTGGCCTATAGGTAGTTGGGGAACTCCTTTACTCGGTGGAATTGCTGCACTGCAATAATAGTTCATGTTCTAATAATTATGTCGCTTTGCTCAAATCTTAAAGATTATATACAGGATGTTGGGTTAAGTTGGTACTTTGCTTAACTGCATATAGGAGTTATTGAAACAAACAACTTTTTTTAACTCAAAAATGAGAAAGTTTCCTTCAAAGGAAGAATAATTTCTAAATGTTGATGAGGAAGATCTATCATCAAAAAGTTCTCGACTCATTGATAAAAGTAAGCAGAAAAAGAACGGACAACATTGCGAGAAACTCAGTTGCATCCTTTCACATTAAACGTGTCCAAGCTCGAAAACTTCCTCCGCATTACTCACTTTTCTGAATGGTTTTTACAACAGCACAAAATCGATACATTTTTAAACACAAATTCTCACTATTGACACCTCCAAACATGGAATTAAAAATTTCTGAAAACACTCCCATGCAATTCCATAACTGCAGGAGCAGGAATTGTGTATGGATCACTTACGGGCCCACACGCTTTACCAGACCTAAATCCTTATGATTTTTTCGGTGGAATTTTATGAAAAGTTAAGTAGCAAGTAAACACGCAAAACTGCGGCAATACGAGAAAAACCTATTTCGTTTACGAAAAAATATATATCTTGACCTGGCCGTTAAGGAACAGTGGGGCGTCGAGGAGAACGTTGCGTTGAAGTTAGAACACATTATTTCAGTTAGTTTGGGTTAGTGTAATTTAATTAGTAATTTTAGTAAGCGGTGGGTGGCCTACAGCGAAGAGGTTGAAATAGTTCATATTATGGGTAAAAAAATGATCATTAAAATTTTGCGAAGATAATGCCAGGTCTACAAACATTTTCAGAAGAAAAAAGCTAGTTTTCAGCAAATATACAGCACTACAGAGCATACCTCCCATAAGGGTAACATAGGTACCTCCTCTTTTAATATGCAATATTGCTGAAAAATCAGTGGTTCCCTTATAACTGAAATCCGATGAATATCTTCAAATGCAATGACGAAATGGTATTTAACATGCAGTTTCAACCCTGGATAACTTGCCATCTGAAAAGTTATAAGTACGTTACCTGAACTGTGGTGCTGGGAACTGATTGATTATTATGGGGGCCGCCGTAACTACCGTAGGGCTTGAATTGGATGCTGCATTGGGCGCATTTTCAACATTCGTAGCAATGTTACTTTGTGAAGTAGTCCATAAGGTAAAGTCAGGTATGGATGATGGAGGTCCCACATTGGACAGCAAATTGCCTGTTGATAAACTGATACTACCTGGCGAGGTAATCGAATACGGAGATGAAACACTACTCAAGGTTCCTACGGTTTAGTTCAGAATTATGCTTAAATCAGACAATGAAGTAGTAAATTCTTACCACTTTTATCCCCATTGCTAGCTTGTTCTATAGCTTTTTTATCAACAATCTCGAACGAAGCACCCGTCGAGTCATCTTGATCCATTTTAACTCACTTTTGTTTAAGTTTAGTTATAGAGTATTAACTTAATAGAAAGCAACGAATTCAATAATACTACATATAATAAATAGTATTAGATATTGCATCAAACAAGCAAAATATGTCAACGTAAACAAATCAAGTAGAGTCTAGGTCCCAACCTAACTGCCACTCTCCAGCCTACGGTGTTGCCAAGTTTTCACTAAGGAAGTGAAAAATATTATGTGCGTATCCGCGATACGCACGCATCGCAACCTTCCGCTGCATGAGTTACTGTCTCTGTTCTCGATTTTAACTAATTTTTAAGTATTTATCCGTATGTGACTTTAAAAAAACAAATTAATATTGAACCAAGCGTTAAAAACGTTTGATCACTTATAGCACCACCACCACCCACATAATATATAGCATGATAAAATGAATACCTGAATAAGGTATTCATTGTATCATCATATCATGTATCATGTATCATAAAACCGAGAACAGATGCCGTATTCCGTAGCACATGCGACAAAATGTTCCTATGTGTTCCCTCCGATGCACATATAAAAATTTTCACTTGCGTAGTGCAAATTTGGCAACACCGTAGGCTGCCGAGGGACCATAGAGTAAGTACAATTTTACTTTCTCTATGGTTAGGACATACACTCGAGTAACAAATTACCATATACTTTCACAAAAAAGTAAAAGTATCTGCAAATCAAAAACTCGAGTCTAGTCGTAGCCTCAATATTTACAAGGGCGCGGATTTTGACAGCTGTGGCACCGATGAAAGGCGCGCAGTTTCAAAATTGACATTTACTTGAGGAAGGAGGATATTTAAATTAATTTCAGTATTTGCTTGAATTCTGCTTATATTTTACATATATGACATGAGGATATCAGACAAGTTTGTTATAATTTATTTGCAGTTTCTAGTACTATACATACTGCAGTATTTTGCATCTTGAGTCACACTACTATTAGCTTTCTTGAAACCAGCTTGCTCTACATATATTCTCCATAATAATATAATATCAAATAAACAAAAAACCTTCAAATACCTAACGCCGGTAAATGTAAAATTTTAAACTGCGCGCCATTCACCGAGGCGAAGGCTGCCAAGATTCGCGCACCCATAAATATTAACGCTACCACTAGAAGCGAGTGTCCCGTCTTCTTTCTCTACTTTTGACAGATCTAACGAACTGTTTATTTACATTTTATAAAATTTAGCAATTTATGTAGAAATCCATAATGTATGTTTCATAGTAGATTGTAAATGAAGCCAACTACAAAACGGAACAAACGTCCTGTTTTAGGGGTGATACATGAAATATGGAGGAAAACCTAGTTGCCGCTAACAAATCCTGGCGTTTGCCCGAACTCTACGTAAAAGTTGAAAATAATGAGGAATTGATTCGAAAAAAACTCAGGAAAAATGGAAATTTGCTTCGAAAGTCTTTCCTGTCTAAAGGAAGGCGTATAACAGAAGTGAATAGAGATCCCCCAAATTACCATCTCGAATCTTTAATGAATCCGGATTCAAACTATATCAAACAGGAAAAGGAATATATGGCTGCAATCGCCAGATTAAACCATGGCTCCACTTTCAGTAGCTTAAAGCCGGAGCCGGGATTGCCCAGAGCAAATTCTTCGAGCTCTTCCTCAAACCCAAATAGCTGTCCCTTGTATGAATCTTTTGAGAGAGCAAACCCAAGTCCCCCTAGCTCACCGTGCTGCACAGTTAAGCAAGAACCTCCCTCTCCAGACTGCTCTGTTTCCGAAACATTTTTCAGTGAAACCTCGAATCCGGACAGTGACTTTCTCGCTTCGAGTGAACATTATTCCAATTCAAGCAGCCAAACGACTGATGGTTCATCGACATTTTCAGTCTTGGTCAATGCTGTTAATTCTACAAGTGCTAAACCCCTAGATAAGACTAGTCCAAATATAACTATAAAACAGGAACCCAGTGATAGTGACCAAGACTCTAGTGCATCGCAATCAAAAAGTTCGAGTTCATCCAGCTCAAGTGAAAGTAAACCCCAGTGGTCTGAAAGGGTCGCTTTTTTACGATCAGAAGTGTTGGGAAACCCAATGTTGCAAACTTTGTTTAATGATCTATTTGAACTGAAGCGACAGTACAACAACATAGACGAACAGGCCGTAATGAACGAAGTGAAAGCGATGAAGAAAAGGAATAAATTGCTTCTCTGAAACTGATTGGCTGTGGGAAGTTGGAAGAGGATACTGAGACCTGTATGATAACGTGAAACTTGCTAAGAAGACGTTTTTTTTATTAGATGCTTGAGATTGCAAGTTTTCTTGTATTCCGATATTCAAATGAGACTGGTGGTCTGAGGCTTTTTAGTTTAAAGTTTAGAAAATTCCAATGTCGATGGAATAAGTGACTGTCTCGACAAAAGTAGCTGGACTAAAGACATTTTACCACTGTACATTTGTTCTTTCTAAGAGGCGATGTTTTCAAGTTGTAAACGTTTTTGTTTTTGTCAATAACAACATATTTCTCTGTGTTTCTTTAAAAATGCTAAAAGTACCTAAGTATGTTTGATAGTATCGTTATTTAGAGCCAATTGATCACTCTACTGTATATCAAATAATTTGGTTTAATGAAAGCAGATTATTTTATTTCTGACAAAAAAATTAAAAACATATAATGGATATGTTAAGTAAAAGTTGATATTTAAAGAAAAAAACATGTTTCAGTTTAAACTCAACAATTTTTAGAGCAGTTCAGTTACTTTATTCCCCATTTCTAAAAATGTTTATACCTCTACCCAGTGGTAAAAGCTTCAATTGAAAACGACAATTCTAAATTAATATCCTCTAAACTGCTTAAAAAACTGAAAAAAGCAAAGCGATAGTATGAAACTCAAGGAACAAAGCTGATTTTCTTTACTGTAAAAGTTGGGGAATTTTAACGCAATTCATAATCAAAGCGGTTCACCAAAGTGAAAATCTAGTTTATGTTTATTATAACATGGTTTGATAATGAAAAAAGTAGGCAATTAGGATTGATCTTTAAAATTTTTCTACAATTCTTAAACAAGTTTTGTATTTTACCAAGAATAAACGCTGATTCTCATTGAGCTTAAACTATCATTAAAAATCCTTCCTATGAGTGATAACTAGTTTCGGCTATTGATTTAAAACACGTTTAGGCTCTCTAAGGGCCATTGTATTGTAATAAAAGCCGGATGTTCCGCAACTTTTAGAACCCCAGTGGATCACATTTTTATCAGAGGAAGCTACAAAAACGAACCCTTTCAAGTTCAGGTAGTCGAGTTGAAATGAGGTGAAAGGAACCGATGCTCGAATTCAATGTCAGAAAGTTTCAACAATAACCCGAGCTCGGTAGTGCTTCGCGTGCTATTAATCTGTTTAGTTTTGATTTGCTTTGGCTGATGTTTATGTGCAGATAATCAGTTTTTGCCGACATTTTTTTGTGCTTTTTAGTGTGTTGCAAGTGCCAAAAACGTTAATCTGCTGATGATTGAAGGGTATTTGGAAGACTTTGTTCATAGCACTGTTATTAAATGTCAAGTATTAATCACAGATTTGTTTGGAAGCGTTCATACAGAATAGTGGCTAGTACTATGAAAAATAAACGCTTTAAGGGGAGAAAAAAACGAACATTAACAACGAAGGAGATCAATGCATCTTCAATTCCAAATTAATTAACAATCATGAAAACTTCAAAGACCCTCACAGTTTTCATTCATTTATATGTTTTTAACTACGCACATGTGGGACTAGTTGAACGGAAATATCTAACAGTGGAGAAATCGTAAAACTGTATGTTTATTATAGAGGTTTATATTTATTTTGAATTTTAAGAGCAACGAATGGATCGTTACTTGGTTAAATATGAGCCATTTCGAAGTCTAGTTTCCAGACAAGTTTTTTTATTTGGGTAGCCAGGTTATTTGTAACTGGTGAATTTTCCGGGCTTTTACGACCTCGTGGAAAAGACGAGTGGTTTGCATTTTCAGAGCTGGTTCCACCAGAAAAGTGGAAATTAAATTCTTTTCCATGACGGCCTAAAGGCCGGAAAATCTCACCAGTTTCAAGCAGTAGTCGTGAAAGCATAATTAATTTGATATGTAATTTTTGTATTTCATTGTTATAAAATGCTTATTACACAAAATAATAGCTGTTGACCACATAGAAACCACACATACGATTCATTTTTTTACAACGGAAAATCTCTGAAAGCTATTTATCTTTATTTTAAATCGCGCGAAAATCAATTTAACCGGGTAAATTTGCCAGTTAAATATTTAACAATATCCTGAAGCCAAACGAATATTCATGAGTTCATAAACAAATAGTAATTGGCAATATTTAACTTTTAATGGTGTAATTTTCCTGCTTGTTCGCTTTAAAAGCGGCACTCGTAATGAATGAAACTCTCGCTTTGTTTAGGAATTAAAAACTATTAATTAATATACAGGGTGGGCGTGGATGTATCCAAATTACTTTGCATGCGATTAACATCACTAATTTAAATTTGGAAAAAACTGCCTAATGGTTAGTGGACATTGACACAAAGAGTAACTCGTGTGCAACTGATCGTTAATAATAATTAATAAACTTCAAATTAGTGTTTTGTAGATAATAATAATCTTTATGGCCATTAAAATCGTTAAACAAAATGGTGTCAAAACAAGGAATTGAAATTAGCTGAATTCAACCACTGAACACAAGATTTATAGATATTTTTGAATTTTTCTTATTTAGGTACCGGTAATGAATATCTTATACTAGTAGGTTAGCACTAGTAGGTTCGCTATGCATAAATTATTTTAAAGCGTACTTCGAAAAAGATCCATTAAAATAAACCCGATTTTCTCCATATCTCCGATAAGTCGAAATACAGGTGTAATTAATCAGGCAATCAACAAGACTTGAATTATTTATTATGTATAAATCGAACCAGTTTTTCTATGGGGTGTCGCGCTCTATAGATTTAGGCGACGTCTTCCTGAGGTTGATTTAAACAAAAATTCAGCATTTGAGACATTGGGTTAGTACTGGATACAAGGGCGGATCCAGGGGGGGTCTAAATTTCTACTACTTGACCCCCCCCCTGACTCGAAAGCTGGATCCGCCCCTGATCGGATATAATTTAGAAAATTATTTGCCAAACATTTAGAACTGAAACCTGAATGGCTTCTCTTGATAAAAATCATACTTTTTGAACCACTACAATATAATTATGGCAACTTTAACTCAAAACAGTTCCTCACTCGGATTGAAGATTGATTGAAAGTGAACAGACAGGGTCAAAATGAACTCACACAACTTCCAGGAAATTCCAAAGTAACACAGACGTTTGATTAATATGTGTAATTTAAGAGAAAATGCTATGAGGGGCTTGTAGCAACACCCTCTTAAAATCGTTGTTAGAGGGTGTTGCTTGGAGACGATGTTTCTGACCAAAAACTGATTTTTCGAGAGATTTATTAGCTTCTATTAATACTCACTTTTATGTATTTTTCGATCGTCGTTTCTGTATCCCAAAACGTACCAATCATTTCACTTCAAATGGGCACTTAAATGTCACAAGTATTCATTCGGAATGGCTAGTGAGCGCATGGTAAAATGACTCACGCGTTGTCAACAGACGTCAGAAAATTCTCAAGTTAAAAAGCCGGGTATTTTAGCGAAAATTGCACTTTCGGCCGCGGGTAGTGCACAAAACAGTAAAGAAACCCCTTTTTTGCAAGAAACTACGCAATTTTTCACATGGAATGAAAAAATCCTTCAATATTTCGAAATTTCTGCAGAGCGATTCGCACAATGCCTTGGCTACACACCGTCAAAGGATCGACTGATTTGACGCAATGACACAAATTGACGTTCAACAATGACAAATAGACTAACGAGCGAAGAAGATGGTTGAAGAAAGTCAAAAGAAATTAAAAAACGTTGACTTTTCAGTTACACTTGTATATATATTTGGAAAATATATCATCTTCCAGCCTTGGAAATATTCACTGATTACACGGCACCCAATGATTATACCATACATTAAAAATAAATAATAAATCTATTTAAGTCGATTGTACACTGTGAAATTCCCGGCAAATAATTAATAACATCGCAACGAGTCAACTTCCCGTATAAACCACAGTGGGATTTTAAAAAACAATCATGGGCTGTTCACATTTAAATGAGGAAATTGAAATTTTCCCCGTGCCAGAAGATTACAATTGGGAAATAGATAGTTCAAGTTGACCACCTTAGTTAAATTGCTTCCGCCAGTGAAGATTAACCTTAACAAAAGCCAGCCAAGCCCAATAACCTTCACAATACAATACCGTAAATATTGCATATTTTTCTGTTATGATGAAGATCACGGTCAGTAATCTTAACAGGTACCTACGAACATGCATAATGCAATCGAATAACTGCTGGAAATTCGTTTGGGTTCAGATAAGAACTTCTAAACACTTTTGTCCGCTTGATCATTATTAAATCCCAAAGAAATCAAGTAATTGAAATGAATATTTCTGTAGCTGCTACATGTTACAAACTGGGTCAGCCTTGTCAATTTTTTTTGCTTCCATGCCACATTCAGGTGCATTTTTCATCGACTATAAGGTCGATTACTCCAGCGTATAATTATCGCTTGGAAATACCAGAGAAAAACTCAAATGAAAATGTTTTTCACTTGAAATAGACTGTTAAAAGGACGCAAAACGAATACATCAAGCTGGTTGCTGAAAGCAGGAGATTTATCATGTTTATCGTTGGCAAATATCTTTCGACAGCACACATACTTGTTGAGTTGAGCTTTCCATTCCGTTGAAAAACTGCAAATTAAAAAAAATTAAGTCCAATATTAGGGATCAGTGGCTGGCTGATGATTAAGCGCTGCAGTGACGCAGAGCTCCTTTAAGGAAAGTCACTGCACTTACGTGGTTAGCAGTTTGCGAGCCACTCACGTTGTAATCAATGATAAAAAACTACAAGAGAAGAGTAAACCACGCAAGTAGAATGTATTTCTCACCTTATAAAAGATGTATATTATCGTACGTAGTAAATTAAATAAGAACTTTTCCTCAACTACCGTTACTCTTTAAGGAGATAAAAGCGAATTTATCGCCTAATTAAATGTTCAACCTTATGTGCACTGCATTGAGAACAACGGCCTGTAAAACCAGCTTGATTTATAAACCGTATAAAACAAGTCAAATATTGCATAGGGACAGAGTTGGTTAATAAATCCATCAGTCGTTTTTAATCAGCTTCAGTCAGCTAAATTATGAAATAAACACTTACAAGCGAGGTAACAGAGCACTAGGAGCGCAACAAATGCCTGCATTGGAGAGAGCGAAAGCACATATCCAGTTGTCTGTCTTCGGCCGTAACTTGATTGGTATTGGGCGCTTACAGTAAATACAAACTGCCCAGTTTCTTCTCTTTCTAACCCAGACTTCCATGTTTCTGCCTTGTTCCACTAGTACATTCTTCGACAGTAAAAATTTGATTTTAAATCGGTTCAACACTTTAAATTCGCCTTTTAAGTATCATTGGTTTTGAAAAATTGCACACACTTATTTCAAGCCTTCTTAATGCTATGCTAATTGATGCCGCCTTGACTATCGAAAAAATGCAAAAGGTAATAAAACGAATTCTTAAAATACCCTTTGTGGAACTCTATGCTGACGCAACGGTGATATTTTTAAATCCGGCTAAATGCCCACCAAATTTAAGCCCCTGCCTATTAAAACAGTCTTATTCTCGAGATCATAAATCAAACATGCAAATTGCTTCAAATTGATGGAAAAATGAATATCGCGTGCCTCCAACTATTCGACTACCTGCAAATTTGTGATAATTAAAGCGCAAAAAAATCGTTTTTAACTGATTATAATACCTACACGTATCTTATCTCAGATGATCGCACAAAGTACTCGAGTGAAAATATACGTATTGCTTATTGTGATGTGATGGATGATAACTGAAACTTATTACCAGTTGGTTGCAAAATGTGCAAATGTTGTCAACAGTAAGTATATATTTTTTGTTGCTTATTTGCGTGTGCACGAAGTAATTAGATTTGCTTGGTTAAAGGTAATTTTATACTACAAATATCAGGTATCAGATCCAAGCTCTCCATCGGGGAATGATTCGCTTTATCTAAACTGCTGATATAATACTACGAGTATTTACCTGCTTCAACTATGGGAAACTTATATTTAGTATTGACCTTTATAAATTACTTTAAATGAAGTGGATGGTTTTTTAATTATGATTTCTATACCTACAAATTGTGTTGCTTCTAAAATAGTTTTTCAAGAAACTTTTTTCAAGTTCTCTCGTAAATACCCCAAACTCAACTAGAACTGTAGTTTTATAAAATTGCAAAAAAGAAACAGCACGTTTCAAAAAAGCTAATTTTTATAGGAAAAACTTACAGAATTGATTCAAAAACGTGATTTTCAGCAGAAAAAAATTGAGTTGACCCTCCAAAATCAGTACAGTTCAAGCTCTATCCAAATTTATAAGCTTCAGCTAGAAAAATATACCATATTATAATCATTAGTATCTTTCCATATTATCTGAAATTCAAGAGATTGTATAAGAAGTTCTTAAGTGATGTTCCTTCTGAAAAGTGTTTTTTCGGACCGTATTTAAAACTTAAAACCACCATCAATTTATGAAGAATACCAAACAGTAATCGTAATAAAACTTCAAAACCTATGGGAAGCACACTTCTATATTCTTTAACTTACGACATTATTTTGATTGAGACTTTTTGAAAATCTATCACTCGAAACTGCGTAGAAGAAAACGAGATCGAAGGGAAAAAATCCAATAAAGTCTGCCACATTTGCAACTACGTGATTATAAATCTCTAGTCTTTCTATACCCACAAAAATATATATTTTAAGACAAACGCAGGGTGTTGCTATAAAGCATAGCTTTGCTTAGGTAGTTCATCTCTTGGGTGAACTTTTGAATAGTTTATGAGTAAAAACTTGCTTAATTTGTGGACCGTTTTTCAATGTTCCCCCTAAACAACGTAATTCCTCAAAAATCCGATAAACTCTAGTGACGCCGCGTACCACGTAACGTTATTTATCCAAAGATTAAATAATTAAAGAAATATTTATTGCTCCACAAAACGTCCGACTTTATTTAATTTCATTTTCACTTGATCGCATTTCCACCTTTTATTACTCCCATTTAGGAAAGCCGATGTTAAATGCCGGAAAGTCAACCAAATCGTTTGCAAGCTGCATTGTTTGTCATCAATCTATTTAAAACTGATCGCATTTCGCATATTAATCAACCGAAATTTAAAAAGGGTTTCTGGCAAAATTTATTAAAAGCCAACAGATCATGTTTGAGATAATTTGTGTGAGTAGTCAATATAATGATGTGAGTTGGACTTTAATCATTTGAGAAAATTCAGAATTTGTATTATTGCCAAGTTATGTATAATTATTTAAAATGAAAAATTAATATGTTTATTAGATGTGATATATTTGGATAGGTACTCATATACAGGGTTTATGTGCGGGAAAATCAATAGGTAAATGAATTATTTATGTGCTTGGTCCAGAACAAAGGATTTTTTATTTTTTCTATCGAAAACTAGGGAAGATATGAAAAAGTCTATAGGCAAGAAGTTGCATTAAAAAAATGGGAAAATCTTAAACAAGTCAAAGGCGCCCATTTTTTTGCAAAAAAATCATGACCGGGTTGGCCTCCAGGATCCCACTGGGCTTAATAATTTTTATCGATTTATTATAATGAATAATACTTATTATAATTTCAACAACATCGACAAAAAGATTATGAAACTATGTGAAAACCGTTTCTTTATTTCAACACCCTGTATATGAAGGAATCGTTTCCAGACCTAACTAATATAAACACTTTTTCACAAAATCACCTCCTGAAGTTTGGACGCGCACTTTGATAACACCCGGTAAATTTACTTCATGTTGCCAATTTATTTGAATAAAGACTTTTTTCGCCTAAAACTACACTACGCAAAAGCTGCTCGTTTCAAAAATGCAGAAATATGATATTCCTATCTTTCCTGGGTCTCAGTCAAAATGTGAAGTAAAAATTTTTTGAACATCGTTTATTTCATTACGTTTCGGCGAGACAACAGCGCCATCATCAGATTTAAAATTTACACCAACTCATGATTGGTAAAAATCAACGTTCTTTTAGGTCTTTGCCTTCTTGAAACCTTAAATTTGTCTCATCTCTCAGACAAAATGTTTCCTTCACACTTTGACTGAGACCCAGGCAAGATAGGAATATCATAACAAGTACACGCAGCCAGGAAAATAATTCAGAAGAAATGCAGAAAGCTAATGCTGCTTCCCAATGTTAATAAATCACCCTGTATATAAAATATTTTCTTTTTTCTTCATTTGATCTTGATAACATTCAATAGAAACCAATGACCAACAGCACGCATTAAATCAATTAACCACGCACTCCATCCGGATGAAGTTCATGCTTGTTTTAAATAATTGTCTTATTAATTATCATTTCGACTTGGTCCAGTTAAAAATAAAAGCGCTATTGAACCAATAAGTTCACACATCTATGATTTGCGTTAATCAAATTAACAGGAACAGTTGTCCGAATCCATCCCGAACCAGTCGTAAAATCAGTTTTGTATCCGTCGTAAAGCCAGATTTAACATGTTTCATGTTTACTGTGCGTGCTTAAGTATCTAGAATAAATGTGACTTTGGATGGTTTTCTAAGTCGCGATGCATTTGTGCAGTCTCCGATGGTGGGTTATTAAGTTGTAAACTAAATGGAAATAAATGAACTAATTTGTAATAGTTTGACTGGTAGCAAGAAGACAATACCTGAAAAACCTCGCAAAATTGCACATTTTATCTCTTTACAGTTGTCTGGAATCATGCTACTGGAACCTAATCGAAGAGAAGTTCTGTTTCGACGAAAGCATAGCGCTGTACGAAGAGCCCGTGAAAAAGACAAGCGAAAAAAATAACAACATGTTCGACAACATGGCATTTTACGATAGTGTATCTGTGATAGGTGAGCCGGACAAAACTCCAAATAGAAGCTTTTTAAAAAAATAATTGCTGTTGTAGCTGGACGAGCAATCGTTACCATTGATCCATTGGAACCAAAAAGAAACAAACAAGCACAAGCTGTGGTGGTCGAGCAACCTAGAAAAAGACTGAAATGGCCGGAGAAAAATTCGAAAGACATCGACCCCGACTATTTGAACAAAGTGCCTTTTATCATGGACCCGAAGGAGAAAGAATCCACGGACACTGACGGGGGCGAAAGCGAATCCCAACAGGAACTTTTACAGAAAAGAGTAAGTTTTTCCGAGTGAAAAGCATTTTATCGGTTTTGCTTTGTTGGACAATGAGCACTTTCCAGAAGATTAAATATTCTGTTATTGGATGTAGATGTGTTTAATCGCAGGGTGTGCAATATTCAGCTGCTTAGTTGTAAGTGTGTTATTTTTCAAAAATTTTATTTCCTGTTTTGGAAACACGCGCATTTACTAAAAAGCACCCAGTATAATATAAATCATACAATATTTAAAAGATTCACACATCTTAACAAGTGCACGAGTTTTAGTGATGATTTTCACAGTCGTCTATTTATCGCTTATGTAACTTTCAACTTAATCATCGATTTAAATACGGTTTCACCCAATGTAATGTTTTACATGGCAAATGCTGCTTGTTTAACTGTATTTATATTGTATAAACTTAAGATAATAATATTAAGTTTATTTTTCTGAGCATTTGTTATCGCATTCTGTAAAGAAACTAGCTTTAAGTACGTATTGGAAAAGAGATCTTAAAACGCCCAGATGCATCAAATGGAAAAGTTTTCTGATAGTGAAGTCTAAGTAATTTCCAAAAATAAAAAAAATGCCATGTACCTAATGGGCAAATGCAATAAAATCAGCAGCTGTACCGGAGTTTGAAGGGAAAATCTAATCCATTAATAAACTGTTTGCTCTTAGCAAAGGTTTCTGAGGTAATTTTTGATGTATTAGATTGTCGACCTAACCGTCAGACCAAAAAAACCTTTAAAATTACGAATGCGCTATCATTTACTCGAAGAGAACATTTCAATAGAATAAACAAAAAACTCTTAGGCATATAACCAGATAAGGTTTTGCATTTTTATTAATCTGAGATGGTAAATAAAACGGCGTTAGGTACTAGTGGTTAAACCATGTTCTCTTATTTTACTATTTAAAGTGGTACAATCTGAAATCAGGGAAAAGTGGCTTCGAAACTCTCCAGAATATCGGTATCAGTTTTCTTCTTCAAACTGACTGAGCTCTTGAAGCATCAGTACAAATCGAACTCTGGATCTGAAAATTAACCAGCAACATTAACCAAATATTTAACATTTTAAACACCAGGAGTACCATTTTCTCACTTTGTTTATTAAGAACTTTTAAAAATTATATAAATGCGTGTTGTAAGTAGCTACCTTATGTTAAGCGTTAGCTGAGGCAGCAATAAAAGAAACTTTGATTTCATATATTAATAGCCCAGTTCGATTGGTAGATTTCCCTTTGTAAAGCCCGGAATTTGACTTTGTTATGGATTTTGGATCAACAACTTTCTAGTTCTTATTTCCGATAAAACTGTCCAGTCGGATATTTTTTAGACTCTTATTAAGGACAATAGATTGATAAAAAAGTTTCCAAAGAATTTTTCAATCTCCGAACCAAATCAAAGTAAATATAGTCCGCACTGCAAAGTGCTTAAATATTGATGTGATTAATAAGCGGCCCTTGCTTTTTTGCTTGATACCGAGGATTTACCAGCTTTAGGCTAATCTCAGATATATAAAAAATCATATGTTACGCCGCATTTAAATAACAGAGGTTTATAAAGATTATAAACTAATTGTGCATTCGAAAAGGTGCTTCTAAAAGCATGCTTTTAGTCACGTAATGTTAATTTGCTGAAATGTTCATATAAAGATATCAGGTTGTTAAGCCGTAAATTGAAGCAGCTTGGAACCGTAAGCATGGTTTTGTTTAGTGAAACCCATATAATTAGTAAATAAATAGTTGACCAAAAGCACTAATTTGTGCGGTTTTCTGTGCTATCAGCTGCTGGTTTCGCTGGATTTTTATACAAAAGCATTCGAAGGTTTCAAATATAACTCTGCTAATATAGATATTTTCAATTAATTCTGATCTTTCCTAATCTCCAATAACAACTCTTTTCGCACAAATAAAAACGTTGTTTATCACTCATTATGTTACCCTATTTAAATGCTATCTGGTATGGAAATTGGCTTGTTATTTATGATAAACTGAAGTGCTTACCAAATATTCTAGGAAACTGCTTGGAAATTGCATTCCACTTTTGGCACGAATGTGAGCTTTCTTACCATCTGCCCATTTGGCAAGAACTGAAAATTGATGATGAATATTAAGCTCAAATACTGTAGCAAATGCTAATAAGTGTCTTATTGTTCGCACTTACCTTATTTCTAATAAATTCAGAAAAGAATATTTTTTCTTGCAAAAAATCGCCGAATAAAACAGCAATCCTGCCCCGAATACGGCGAGAAAATCACTGTAAACATGTCGTTATCACTGCGATTACTTTACAGGCCAACACTTGTTTAAGGCACAATAATTGATTAGATTACGCGCGTATTTTTACTGTCCTGCCGACGTGCTAACTTGCTTTATTGCCGTTTGTTTCTACAAAACAACATAAAGGCAGTGGATTTCACTTAGTACCTATTTGCTAAACGTTACACACTAAAGAACTAAAATTGCCTTGAGTGAAACCGATTTTTGCGCATTACCGTTAAATAATTAATGCTCTTGCTTTTCTACTTCCTCATAACGATTTTAATTAGTTTAAACCTTTTATGAAGCGAATGTGGTTTTTAGATACATATTTTCCACCATTTCATAATCGCAAAGTGCCTATAATAGCTGGGTTATTAAGATTACTTAGTATATGGCTATAATCCTTAATGCAGGATTTAGTACTTAAACATTTAAAAAAAATCAATTGACTATAATTTAAATGTTATTGTGTGTTCAGAACTTATTTCCAAAAACAAGCATTTTTTACAATTATTACAATGTCTTAGTCTCATTTTTAGTCTATCAAATGTTCTATGTACGCTACAGGGTGATTCAGGATCTGCGTCCTTTAATGAGAATGTCTTTTTTTGTTTAGAAACTGATTCAAAAGTGTCAGATTAAAAAGTCGGTGAGCTTCCACAACATTCCAGACAAAACAGCCAGTTCTGGCTACGAAACCGACAACAAATCGAAATCAACGAATCTCATCGTTCCTGAGGATGAAGAAGTTACGTTGAGAGTGGGAAAATCGTTGAGGGAACGACGAATGTCGAAAAGCTTATCGTTAAAAATAGTGGGTAAGTTAAAAAAAACTCAAAACAAAAATAAGTCCAGATATAAACGTGAGTGAATTCTTACCATTATTTTGCTGAGCGTTTTCCTTAAACTTCTCTCCAAACCTGGGCATCTATCAGCCAAACCAACCAAATATGCACATGTAAAGCTCAAAACTCTCTTCAGCTTGTTCAATTGTTTAATCTCCATTCAAACATGCCGCTGTTCTTGACCTAAATATTCGAAAGTTTGATTTAATTTCTATTGTGTGAAGAAAATTGCCCAAAGTCTAATTTTCCAGATATGCCCAAAGAGTTGCCAATAATCCGGCAGAATTCCATGCCCAAGTTCTACCTGGACACGCCAGATGAGAACCAATTGAAAGATTCATCAATAGTGAAAAATTGCGTGTTGGTGCTCCAGAGCCCCATGCCGGTCGATTGCAGTTTCGACTTGCAATCGGTGGTACAGATGGAAAAAGATCGACAATCGTCGAAAGTGAAAACACCGCCGGTCCCAATCCATCGAGAAACTTCAAAGCTCAATTTACTTAAAGATAAGATAATGTTAAAGAAGAGTAAAAGTACGATTAACGCTAGCACTTTGCCATATACCAATCACATGTAGTGTAAGAAGTCTAGGGTTAAACTTAAATAAAAGTAATATAAAGTAGTTAATTAAGGGCACTTGAAAGGAGTATTAATGATTCAAAGTCATTTTTATTACATTTCATAATTTATACACGCAAAAGTTTAATTATACATATTGAATATAAAACAGCTAAATCAAAAATTGTGCTTAATTTTTACAAGACCACAAACAACGTTCATATTATAAAAATTAATTGAGCGTCGTACATTACACATATGTTTGTGTAAGATGAATACTTATAGCATGAGATTGTTTAGGGTTCAGTGCCTCTAACCGACTTGGGAATACAGCTATTCCTGTACAGGCATGAAAGGGCGGCCAGTTGTATTATCTACATACATACATACAGTCATCCCCAATATATTAAGCCGATAAAATGGAAGGTTTATAGCAAATTTAGCAGTCTATAAATAATAAAGTGCGATTGGCATTGGAAAAAAATCCAATTGATTTCAATTGAAAACAGTCAGTGGGGTGCAAAATTTCCGAAGATTCCTTCAGATTTAAAAGAAAATTTCTGTGAATAAATATAAATTAATACAAACCTAAGCAAAAAAAGCCAGAATTGCATTGAAACTTCATCGCGTTCAAATCGAATAAACCCAGAAAATAAAAAAGTACTTTTTTCAAACCGCTTAAATAATTTATTATGGAATAATAATATATGGAATTAGCCATTACGCAAACCACACATGTGAACTTAAACGCCTATAATTAACTAAAAGTCTGCTTTGTTGGCTCGAACTGTGCACCTCCAAATAAAATGTCTTCATTTGACTGATTAAAAAAAAACATCGCTTCATAACAAAAATTCAACACTTCCAATGTCTGAACTCGTTGTCCTAATATATACAGGGTGTTCTACATGTTTTAGCTCCAACCGGTTAGTATCTAAATGAAATAAATTATTACAAACGAAGACAACAACCTGCCCGTATTAAGTTTAGTGTTAGTTCATCGGATATTCAGAAAATGTAATGTTTTATGAAAAATTCATATTCGTTAACTTCGAGCACTTGATGTCGTACGTCCTGTTGCATCAAATCACAGCCAAATGCCAAACAATAATTCCTACTACATTAAAAATTAGTGTTTGTAGAACAACCCCCATACATAATAAATCGTTGCAGATTGGGCCTACAAAGGTTAAATTTATGTTTAACCGCCTAGAAGAACAGATCCGAAAATCAACCAGTGCAAACATTTGGAAATAACAGACATATGAACAGTGTACTTCCTATCTAATTACTTAATCACATCACGTTTTCCAGTTGTGGCGCTGTCCAGGTGCTGGAGGAATCATATCTGAAATGAATGCCTTCTTTCAGATTGATTAAGTAATGTTGCGATCACTCAACATGTTAAAGGTTTGTACAAAAATAACGAGAATTTAAGTGGCGTTTGCAAAATCGAAAACTAAAGACAGCACCAAGAAAAAGCAATGATATGAGACTAATTGCAAACGCTCTGATAGTAGGTGTCCCAAAATGGACAGAAATGAGCATACAAACGAGGGCAGAATATCAAACGCTAGTCTTTTCTAGGACGGCGTAAAGGCTAAAAGCGGCGAAAAACTCAGCTGTATCAAGTATTGGCAGCAAAAGCCTGACTTTTGATATTTTAAAAAACTTCTGACTTAAAGGCAGATAGGAAACAAACTGGACGGAGCACTGAGATTATTCTGGGATTGGGATTATAAAATGCATACATACATACATATCAAGCAAATGTCGTCTAGCGTTTTTTCGCAAAGCAGTTGGGTTTGGTCAAAACGGTGGGTTTTGCTTATGGGAATTGCGTTTACCTAACAGGTACTGGCGCTGCATATCTGCGGCCCGTTGCATTTGTTCCGCAATATTCGGGGCCACTCCACTTTTTCCGCTCGCAGCTGCAGCCTGAGCCTGTGCCATCGCCAACTGATAAGGATAGAACAAAGGCAGATGCATCAAATGAGCTCCAGCCGGAGAACCTCCTTGTGCTATACCTGAACAGAAAAAAAACAATAACATATCGGATACCAATTAACCCAGTAACGCCCAAATTAATTTTTTAAGGAAAATTTGCAGAAAACCTCAATTTATGTATCATGAAAAATCTATGACACTCAACTTATATACCCGTTTTTTTAATTTTTGATTTGTTTTCATATCTATATGTTGTTGATCTATAAATAGATCGCTGGGAGAAAAATACAATTATGTGTCGTAAACTTACAAAAGGCTTTATTCTAAATTATTTAACAATTTTATTCAAATTTTGCGATGAAACTTGGCAAAGCAAGTTACACATAGTGTAACGTCACACTTTTTACAGAAGGTAAGCAGACGGTTCTTACAGCCCGGATACTGGCAACGTCGCTGATCACCTCTTTCCTCTAGCAAATGCCATTTTTCATTCAACCTTACATTATCAGGTACATGTGCTGTTGAAGTTGTTGGAAAAGTAAAAGGTCTGCTTCTCATAACACTTCGTCCATGTCCAATTTTGAGGTAACTGACTGCAATTTGACGTCGAAAATCCTTTATTGTAATATAATGTTTTCCATGCACTTTTCTATAAAGCAAGAAAGCATTTACCACAGCCATGTCAATCATTCTGGTAAACAAACACCAGTACCACTTCTTTCCTCTTATAGCAATCGAATGCTTTTCTAGAAGCCAGTCATGGTGGTCCACTCCTCCCATAAATCGATTATAGTTATAAATAACTTTTGGCTGATTTACTAAAAAACGAGCTTTTTGAGCCCGGTTCAACCGGGATACTGTGGCCACTGGCTTGATTGCATCAAAATTAGAACCTATTGAAACTGCTTCTGCTCATAGCATTCTTTACAATCGCTTGTCCTAAATCATCATCATCAGACCAATAGTCTCTCTACGAGGGCAAGGTATGGTATCCACTGAATATAAGAAAACCAATAAAAATCTTTATATCATCTGGGGTTATGATAAATCCGTGCTTATTTTTTTGTGTAACTGCATATCTTACTGTTTCTTGAGTAATAATATCAAATGTTTTGGTATCAAAGAAGTGTTGTGTCAAATATATTCACGGCAGAAAGTTGATTCAATGTGGTTTTGAGTTCATTTTCTTTTTCTATATAGTCTTGCTCCGGTTCAAAAGTGTCATATACGGGATCAATTTCGGCCCAGCTGGTGACAAGTTTGCCTGGTTTACCCATCTTTGATCTTTTTTGTGGTAATAGAAATGATAATGGCAAGTAGTCTTCATCTTCACTTTTATCTCCATCTTCGTTTCTTTGAATTTCAACATACCCGGCAAAATCCGATACATCAGGAATTCCTGTATCTCCATTATTGACAATTTCTTCATCGGTTAATTCATATACTTCCGGAGGCTGCTTCTATTTGTTCGGAATATAAATATTCAGCAGCTTCTTCCAGAGTTTTGAAAACGGTTTTACTCATTATTCAAATCTAGAAAAAAGTAAATAACGGTAAAAAATTGACAGGTGTAAATTTTTTTTCAGGATTTTTAGTTAGTTTCGTACATCACTTCTAAACTTATATAAAAAATATAACTGACTTACCTAAAGAAGCTTTTGAGAAACACTAACAAATATCTGAGATGACACCGCCGTAAAAATATTGATATTTAAGAAATCGAACCGTTCGAGCCCGTTTGTTGACGAAGTTCAACTAACATAAAATCTATGCGTGTTAGGGTGTAAACAAACATAAGTGGTGAATAAAATGACTGTTGGTACTTATCCGGCGAAGTAAACATTGGGTTTTTGTTCTGATCTATAAATAGATCGATGGGCGCTAATGGGTTAAGTGCAGCTTTAGATGTTGAATAGTAGACGGAGATAATGGTTCTCACTTCTGATCAATTGTTGTTGGAACGCCTGCATGGCAGCAGCATTTTGTGCGGTGTATTTGTCCTGCGCTGATTGAGACATAGTCTGATGACTGCCTCTTGAGGAGGCAGGAGGCGGCGTCGGTTGAGCAGGCGGAGGCGGTGCAGGAGGCGTAGGAGTAGCAGCCAATCGAGGAGCAGGCGTCGGTGTCACAGATTTGGGCGCCGGTGGTTCCTGCCCTGATGGTGATTGGGCTGGGCTGCTAGTTGAAAAGGAACCGTTCTGAAATAATAATTATGTATTTAGCTACTCTTCTCTCAAAAAATTCCCAAACAGGCCGTAATTTCCAAATGAATAAACCAACATCATTCCTGCTTTTCCTACTTTTATATTCTGGTAATCAATGTGATCCTTAAACTGTTCTTGAATATCACCAGAAACCGCATCGAATCGATTTGCTCATAAACTACCGCTCTTTGCTTTTGCACTTCTCAAGTCGATTTCTTGCAAAATATTTGACCATGCCTATTATCAAAAAATGCGTTACTTTGGTTGGTTCCTTAATCATAACAAGCTTCCCAGTAATCTAATTTTACATGGCTAAAGAAGCAACAGTTTAATTGCGTTTGATTTTCGGATTTTTTTGATAAGTCAAAAAATCTACATACTTGTGCTAGTCTCTGTTCAATTTCCTGCTCCTGCTGTAGCGCTTTCACGAATGCAGTTTTAAGTCTATTAGTATGCTCAGCCTTTAGTCCTTTTTTCACGTTATTAGTAACACATTGTTCACATATAACCTTTGCAGCTGTAAAATAAAACAACTATTATAAAACCATTTTGTATTAAAAAAAGAAGCACTTACGTTTATTTTTGCTTTTCGGCTCCCATCTCCAAACAGGAGTGAAGTCGGTATTGCACTGACTACAACTGTAAGGTTGAGGCGGTAAGGGCATTTTCGTTTCTTTAGTAAGGAAATCTACCACATGTTCCAAGCCCACCAAGTAAATGAATTCTGTATTGCTGGGATTTGGAATAAAGTGCATCTCTGGAGGCGGCGGTTTCGGTGGTGGAATCTGCAAAAAAAATGTATAATGAACATAGAACGTAATATTGAATAGATCAGATCATAAAACCCGTGTAAATATTAAACAAACAATCAATTAACAATTCCCAGTTCTTCAGTGTTGCTTATGCACACCTCTGAAGTTGCGCATCTAACAACGCAAAAATGTTCGATTACTCAAAAAATGTAATTGGAACCGCTCACAACAATCGTTCTTTATGCTAAAATTAAAAAATACGAACCTGCAACAGTGTTTTTTCCAGCTGTTTTCGAAGCGCTAGTTTGGCTGCCGCCTGCCTTTGAGCGGGAGTTTGATTATCCTCTCGAGATCGATCCTAAAAATTAAAATATACAAATAAGAGCAACTAAGTTACAGCAACCAGTTAAATTTGGCTAATCTAGAGGTTTACCTCCGATATCGCGCTGTGTTGAATAGACGCACTCATTCCTAATGGCTTGTTATCTAGTCCAGTTAAATTCTTGAGCAGCAATAAAAAAGTTATCATTGAATCACAATGGAACATTTCAAATCGAATATCACTGACAGCGTTGTTAATTGCCATCCGCTCTTAAATATTTGAAGGCAAATGTCGTCTTTAAACGGCGATAAAAACGTCAGCCAAACGGTATTTTTGCGCGCTTCATTCATTCAGCTAAAGGTGATCTCTTTTTCAAATGTAACTCACCTTTATAGCTTGTGGAGGAGCCGGTGTTATTGTGACTGAAGGCGATAAGTCTTTGACTCCAGGTGGAAATCCTGGTGGTCCTCGAGTCATACTTCCGGGACGTTGCGATTGCTGAGAAATTGACAAATTGGCAGCCCGACTGCCCAAAGGAGTTGCTGTAATTTGGGGCGAATGGACGCTACTGCGGATAGTAGAAGACGGTTGCTGAAAAAAAGTCATATTAATTGCAAACTAAGTAATAGAAGTATATTCACTTGGGGTTGGGAGCAAGTTTGTTTAAACAAGAATAAGATAAATTGGAGAAAAAACCGTACGTTAAGTGGTTAAGCCTCATTAATTGCGCAAAATACATAACGTTATTAACAAAATACCGCAAAATAGGCTGTAGAATGCATTTAGGATTACATAAACGATTGCACAATAGGTAATTCTGTACACAAAGTTATCAGAAATGAATGTGATATCTGTTAGTTCGCCTTGTTGGAAACGGTTGAAAACCACAATAGAGATGTTATTATATATACATACAATAATTACTACTTTGTAATGTTTCTATGTAGGTATAATAATACACATGACGGTATAAGTATAAAGCACGAAAAGATGGACTTTTCTTGCCTACTTCATTCCTTGCAACTGATCGCCCTAAGTTACGATCTAAAAACCCGAAAAACATTTGTGTCGAAATAGGTATTCACAACTGTCGGGTGTAATAAATAAGCGGATTTTTGAGCAAATATTTTTTTAAGCCTTTTTGCATACTTTTAAATAAGGTCTATTGGTCAAAATGTACATACATTCAAAGATACCTAGTTCTCCAGACAAGCTTTCAAAAAGGGCATTTCAAGTGATGCGATATTTTAAAGCCGTTTCAGAGATATGATGAAGATAGATAGCTATAGAAAATTCAGACATCTGAAGACGATAATGCTTTCTGAAGTTGTAATATTTCGGCAAGCTTAAAAGAATTCATCTCGGAAATGGTAAAAAAATAGGAACAATCTTTAAAACTTAGACGAGTTAGGAATATTTTTATTATAAACTGCCCGATGAGAATATCAGAGTGGCGCAATAAACACTAAATAATTGAAATAAATTTCGCTAAATTTAATCAAATATCCGACCAATGTCTATCTATAAATGAAACCGATCACTTGTTCATTATGTAAACTATTCAAACACATACAAGTCCAGAGTTTCCTGGTATAGGCGATAACGACTTGTATAATCTGCTTGTATCCATAAAAGTTAAACCTCATTTGTCAACAAATCATTAGCAATCAGGTCATTACATTTTAAACGTCTTGGTAGCCAGTCGATGTAAAATAACAACGATAAGAAGTCCGAATATCGCAAACCAAGCCCCCCCACACAGATAACATCCATTGCCGATGATAAATGAAGCCTGATTATCGTCAAACCGCAACATTTTAGTCAAGCCGCTTGTATTGCTTGTATGCGAAATAAAAATAAACTATGGCTCGTAACCTCCTTTATCAAGTAAACCAATAATTTGCAAGGACTGGTAATTAATATACTGCTCGTCAGTTAAAACAAAGTAAAGCTCCATTTTCGAGAAACAAAACTTACAACTGTACAACAAAAATAATGGCACTTTTAATGTCACTCGATATTATGCGCTATTTATATCGGCATTGCCGACCATCACCTTGGGCTATAACAAATTAAACCGTGAAATGAGTTTCAAATATTTATCGTTAAGTAAATAAACGTCAGTACAAATATAAAGAAATATTGGGGCCAGCTCGATTCAAAATTAATTTCGTGATGTTCAAGTAAAATAGGAAACACTGATTACACTCAAGTGGAACTGTTTATGTTTGCAAAGGAATGACGCAATGCCTAAATCTATATGACTTTCAATGAACTACTTGTACAACAGGCGAAAAATTTTCAATTTTGTATTCTTTCACATACTGATATACCACCGCTGTATGTTCGGTTAAAGGAAAAAGTGCGCCAATCGTGTCTAGTTTATTAACCAACCGTTATGCGATAATATTAATGCAGCCGCTAATTGACCTTTTTTTATGGGAACAAACCCGAAGTGGACACATAATTCAATAAATAGAACCAATGATCGAGTGGTTAATTAATGTTAAAAAGTTCCTTTGTACAGTAAAACTGAAAAAAAATGTTGAAAAAAATTGGCAAGTAGCATTCGATTATATACAGAGTGTTTAGACACCCACAAACTTTAAGGAGGAGTAAGGGACAGCAAGACACTCATTTTTTCTTCATGCAAATTTTCAAGATATTTAGGGCAAATTTCGAACACTAAATTACGCTTTGGTCAAACCACTGCCAGGATGTAGAGATTGATTTTTTTGGATCAGCTCCATTTATCACCCCACACTTTTTGTGGTGCGCCACTGAAGTCTGAGATTTTTTTCAGCTCTGGGCGGCGTCTAAGAGAATATATCCCAACTCTTACCGACCAAAAACCATGCATACACTCTTGTTTTTTGCCTATGCAACTTTTGATGCTAAAAACCTAGACTTTTCACTTCCAAAATCGAGATTTCAAAGAAAAACCAACTATATTGGCGATTACATAATTTTCCCCAGGTTTGAAAAGAGCATGTTTCTGACGACGTCGATCGAATTACTTGAACAGTCTTGTTGAAATGTTTTATTTTGGCTTTGGGTGTGTTTGGGTTATAATGCGGCTGCCTTCCTTCTTTTAACGACTTCAATTCTCAGTAAAATAGCGCTTCAGGGATAAAATGTGCGAACGATATTGCTATTGAAGTTTAGGTACTTGCATGCAGTTTCATTTACAAATTAGAACTGCTCTAATTTTTAAACGAAGACTCGACAAACGCATGTTGAAAATTAACCCAAACACCCAGAAGTAAATAAAGTTTCCTTAGACCAATTACAGATGAATTGCGGCTTTAAACACCATTAAGCTGTAATCAGATACTTTTAAAACCAGATGCATTTACGTTAACGCCGGTTTAATTATTAGAGGTCCAAATTTGCCCGGTTACATCTGAACCATCCATATCAGCTATTTATAAATGAGAGGAAGTACTCAACTTATTCCCAGAAATAAGCCATAAATCACTGGCGACAAATCGACTTTTGGGTCAATGTGCAAAAATACGCAAATCATGCTTGGATCCTTGAAATTTCACTCTCTAAATATAGATTTTTGTCAATATCACTTGATAAAATACGACAATTGCCTTGAAACTACTTACCCCTCTTAGTAATGATGGTACACCAGACGAGAGGTTCTTTGGATGCACGTTTGGTGTACTAGGATGTCTAGTATGAGCAGCTTGCGGTGTTTGGCCTTTGCTAGTAGCCACAGGAACCTATTGGAATTAGTGCCATTACCATCAGAAATCACGCATAACATTTTTGTCCACATAAACTGATTAGCAAGGAGTAGCAAAAGATACTTCCTTATAGGTTACCTCACCTTAACAATAGTCGGTGTAATACTTAGGCCACTAGGTAGCCCCGTTGGGGGCAAAGCGGAAGGCGGAACACCTGAAGGCAATTGAACATTTTCCTTGAGCTGTTGCGACTGTTTCATTTTTTTCAAAAGGACCAGTTTCATTTCTTCTGCCCGCAACTCTTCTCTCAGTCTTCTTAAGCCTCTGTCCCTGTAACGAAAACAGCAAACGATAATGGATGCTGATGGGGCCCTTACGGCCTTCAAAGGCTACCTTTGCTTCAACTCATCCGGTGATAGTTCTTTGATGGGCGGAGGCAACGGAGGCATTTCTCCATCGCTCGAATCAGTATCACCGAATTCCAAACCGCTTCCATTCAATCGCCTATCTAATGAGCCATTTATTAGAGCGTCTGGCGATTCCACGTAGCTGCGAGGCTCCGTTCGCGGCCTTAGAACTCGCCTTGAATTCACCATAGTTGGTGGCGGAGGTGGATGAATATCACTCGTGGAGGATACTTCGTTTGAAGGTGGTCGCGGTGGAGAATGACGGATACTGTTGGTTCTGTAATCAAACGTTTGTTTATTGAAATATGGCAGCTTTTGTATCAGCTGCAAGGCAAAGTGCAGACTGTTTAATTCGCGCCGTCTATTCCTGAGCTTTAAACAGCAACAATTAATATAGAAAGTGGCAATTTGCAAATATTAAACTTGTTTTAGCTGTGATCATGTAATTAAAAATTTACATAGTACATGCACTAGTATTAATTTCGGGCAGACCACGTATGCTTAAAATTGTGGAATTTCCCAATGGTAATAAAACCATAAAACTAATGATAGTTACTTGAATACCGGCTCTTTTAGGATGCAATTATTTTACGCAGAATCAAATGATTTAATAATGCAATTTTTAAACTTTTTTAGCTAGGTGTATAAACTGATGTTAGTAAACAGACCTCGAATATGCAAAATAAATAACTTCAAAGAAAAAGAGCTTTCTCAACTGGGTAACACTATGTAGACTCTCACAATATCCTGAATTATCGAGCATGTTTATTCTCAAGAGCGAAGTGCAAAATAGCAGCATGATACGTATATCTTGCACCCAATGAAGAAGCTGTGAAATCATTATCAGGCATTCGTAAGTATCTAGTTTGTAAATAGCTGGTGTGCCTAATTAATACACTTTTAAGTAGACAAACTCGTCAGAAAAGAAACTGAAAAAGAAAAATCCCACTTAAGGAATCTCAGTACGTACAGAGCAAAAAACACCTTAGAAGCTTTGATTTGGGAGAAAGCAAAATACTTTCGGATTGGACAGTAAAAAATGCAGTTAACATGTTCCGTACGGCTTGCTATCGAAACTTGAATTCGTTCAGCTGGTGATACATTGATCAAAGAAATGTTCTGTAACATTATGTAAGCGCATTTGTCTTATCTATCTGACTGTTTTCAATAGTAATATTTTCCAGTTATCAAATTTAAATCGCACGGTATATTACGTTTTTAACATCAAGTTTTATTTAAAAATTGATATTTCTAATTTATTTAATACTATTGTTTGCTTATATTATTAATATTCAGTGTTCGAATGTCTAATGTCTGGGCATTATGAAGATTAGACAATTGATTCGGAAAATCGTTCACGTTTTTCGCTCATATCTCAATAACCAGCTGAACTAGAAAGCTTGCTATGTGATAAACTGATAGAGCACTGAGTTTTTAAGTATCAAACATCAATTTAATGAATAACTAAGTAAAATAGTAATAGAACCTATCCAAAATGTCCAATAAAAAGTGGCTTTCGTCAAAAAGTGATTCGGCTGCGAATTTTGCTCTTAGTTATGACAAAAGCACAATACTTTCCATTGTTCTGTTGCAGTGGAATTGTTTAAATCGCGGAAAGCGTTTGTGCTTTAACTTCCTCCTTAAACCACATGACAAAGACATATACAGAAGTAGACTGTATGTTTACTTGCTTTTTTCTGCTGCTATTAATGCAGTTTTTAATTTTTTTGAACGTTTAACTTCGTTTCTGTTGAAAAAGAAACAGGAAACTGACATTGCAAAAAATGTAATTAAAACAAAAAGTAGCAACAGTTAAGTACTTATTAGGCAGAAGATCAATAGCCTGATGATTAAATAAAGTAAATTAATATTTTAGTGAGTTTCAAAACCAAGTACTTGCACTTACGATAAGATCATAGTAAGAAGTTATTATTAAGGGTTCTCAATTTCCACAAAATCCTATTTCAACAGCACCGTTAAACACAAACAACTCGTTCTATCGAATCGTAGTGATTTACATTAAATCTAAATTGCCCTTTATATCAGTTGCATGCAATAAAAATATAAAAAAGTATCAAATTCAATCAAACAGTGGCCAAATGTTCTATTGCGATTTCACGTGACAAATAAAGGATTTTTGTTTAAAATTCTAGGCTAGATGTAGAATTGTATTTACATTTCAACTGACTAAAATTGATTAAAATTAAGATGCATTTACATACCCCAGACTCAGATCCACAACAGCTTCATCAACTTCCATAATTCACTGAAATTGTTATCTAATAATCTTCAATGCAGCTGATTATCCAAGAAGTTCCAATTCACTAATCACACACATTTTCATGTAGGTAACGTAATAGACAATGATCGAAACCACACTTTGATGAACTGGAACGTTAATAGTTAATTGCAATTAAAACTCAAGAGTCAATAACGCGCTACGGCACATGTCGCGTTTAATAACCATTTACAACTACCGGAAAGCGTAACTGGCTTAAGTGTTGACCAACTCCAGGGGAAACTAGATGGTAGATGTGAATGCCCGATGATCTATCGGCTCATCCGATTAATCAAAACCGATAAATTCACACCGCACTATTTACACTAACTTCGGCTACCAAGAAACGTTGGATTGGATTAGTCGCAACAGGGAATGGTTTCATGTTAACCATCACTTGCACCTCCTAGGGTCAATTAATGAACCGAAATTCTAATCTAAACCTCGCGTTGACAAATCGATTATCTCCCTGTACACACACATACACATACACTTTTCGGTATTAAAATCGGCCGATTAATTATGAATAGAACCGCATTGAACACTCTAATTAAATAGCCCCGAACTGATTATAAAGTCTATTTAGATTATGGGCATTTATGTTTTTATTTATCGCAATTACCGAATCATCCTTTCCGACGCGACCACCTATCCAAAGGTAAAAAATAACAGACGACCATCAGACAACTGATTGAATTCAACATGGCGTGGCCGACTGTCAGTGGTCAATGTCAATCATTCCGGTTGCAATTAGCGTTGCCACCTTGTGCAACTGCTCATTTACATAATTTTCGCAAAACACTTAAAGCATTTATTTTTTTATTTGCAAAAATATATTTGCATGAAAATCATGCGTACGAAAGGTTGAGGTCGAAATCTCACTCGTGGCAATGTCTGCAGAATCAATGACTGCAATTATTTAAGTATTTGTGGTGAGGGCAACGGAGACGGAGCGAATGTGGGATAAAGGTAATTGAATTTTTGCTCCAACGCTGCAAAAGAGCCTGGGCGTTTATTACCTCACCCCAAACAAATTATATGCCAGGACATAAAGGGAATCTATGTTAAAGTCGCTTCTAGATTTTTTCAACAGTTTTTCCTGATTTTGATACATATTTTTTTTGTTAGTTCTATTTCGAAAGTATAGAAATTTTCGCTTAAAAAGTGAGTACATTTATCAATTTTTAAAACAGTAAAAATGCCACGCCTTGTTGCGGCTCGGCAATATCGCAACAGTCTTTTTGACAAGTACTCTATAAAATGTCAGATCATATTGCATTAGAACATTATATATATCGCGGAACTTAAGTAGGTGAAAATATATACAAAGCATTCGGTTTAAAACACGAAACTTACCGTCAACTTGCCAGATAAACTGTCCAGAAACTTGTAAGTATTTTTGGTTACGGCACGGCTTTACAATGTTTTCCTGCTTTCCAAAATTTTGCGCTGGCAGCTGCCCCCACTGTATAACATTTATATTAATTAAGTGAAAAATTGTCAAAATCTGTCAATTTAGCTGACAATTTGACGTAAAAAAGCGTCTTCATATATTTGCCGCACACTGTGTATGTGAAGTGATCAAATATGAACACATATTGATGAGAAATAAAACAAAAAACAGGAAAGATTAGTCTGAAGAAAAGTGAAAAGTGTGGATGGAAAAGGTGGCGGAACAATAAAAGTGCAAAAAACATTCAAATATCCAAACTTAGGGACTTTTCGCGTGTCACTCAGCAAGCTCATCGCTGCCAGATTTCGCAAAATTACCCTGAATTAGTAACAATGAGTTCAAATTGAGTTTAATGTTTTCCAACAAGGTAAACTTATTTTGGCGATTGATCAGAATTCATGAAAAGAAAAATATTTTAAGAATTTTTGTTTCACCTTGGTCCACTTGCTCATAGAATCCATTAATTGCTTCAAAAAGCTGTGATTTTTTAACAAGTTTTTCGTTTAAACGAACTGGGTAGCATTTACTGTTGTTTCAAATAAACAAAGCAGAAAAATTATAAGTTTTTTTTGAGTTTCGCCCTCACAGTATTTTTGCTAATGTATCTGACAACCCTGACATTGCCGCTATGTTGGTACAAGTGCAAGATGGCGTCCGAGAAACCCGGGATCATTGAAAGAGGTAAATGTTTAATCGCTGTTATTAATCGTTCCATTCAATTATTCTTGGAACGAATATCGCGAAAATGCGCTGACACTTCTTGACGATTGTTTCCCACCAGTCTTATTACATTTAACTGCGTCGATTCGTAAATCATCGCTCTGTTATGGCTGTCTTGGTTGCAAGCTGTCAAACTTTTGACCCTTGCTTGTTTGTAGATGGAAATTTAGGCGACTTTGAAAACGATCTGATCAGCATGGAAAACCTGGATAGAACCTCACCAGAAATGTGGCCAGAGAAAGGTCAGTTGGGGCGAAGTTCTTAAGCGTGTTGGCCAAATCGCTTGTCAGGAAAATTGGACCAACCGTTTTAATGGTTCTTTTCGGTTTCAGTGCCTGGTGTAACCGATTTTATCAACAGTTACAACAGCACGCACCTTCCCGCCAAACTGCCCTATTCCAAGGAAATCACTTTGGAAGACCAGAAATACATGCACCGTAAGTACAAAGTAGAAAAGCTAGTCAACTAGATGCTCATGTGCTCAATTACACACTGTTGCGTTCTCAAGTTGGCTTGATTTTTTATTCAGAAAATTTCATCAAACCACTCTAATATGAGTGGAAACTGCATTTAATTAATGTTTGCAGAACTGGCTAGTTTATCAACATCACGCTTTTTCTCGAAAGTTAAGGAACTTCACGATATCGCCTATCAGTTAGGGGTTGAAGAGTCAAAGGAAGTAACCAGGGGTAAATACTTAGACATATTTAGTAAAGGGCAGGACGATGATGAATAGTTTTAAGTAATAGCTTAGCAGTTGTTCGAAATGTGCTGTGATCAATTAATAGTCTTGTGAAAAATAATATGGCGCCCTATTTGTAAGAATTAGCGTTTTCTAGTCCGTTAACAGGCTAGCCAGTATACTTTTTACGTTTTATTGCACTGGAAAATAAATTCCATACCATAAAGCTGCGAAGTATATTTTAAGTAATAGTACTTACTTAATAGAATTACACATTCTATTGTAAGTAATTTCCAGATGGCTTTCATAGTTTAATAAGCGATATTGTTCCGAATGATAGCCATCGCTTAAATGTATGTTAGTGTGCTGCAAGACACAAAACTATATGTTTTTAAAAACTTAAATTTTGATGTCTAATTGAAGCGACTGGGTTTCTGTTAAAATGGGTTCTTTAATCAGTGAGGGACACAGGGAAGAATATATTGCATTTTCATCAATCCACTGTAGTGGTGGGAAAAAAAACTCGTTACTCATCCTAGCAATGACATTGGAGAAGAAAGAAGCCCGGTGAAGAATGAATCAACCAAAGCAAGAAAGCGCAAGGAGGTTGGTTTACATATGAAATGTCCTGTTAAAGAACTTATGCCGATTGGAATAAATAGTCATGGCGGAAAAATCTGATGCGTAAATGAAAAAATGCGTGAAAGCCAAATCGATATTGTCGAGTAGACAGAAAGTCTGAAGAATAAATCAATGACAAATTAAGAATTAATTAATTCACAGGAAGAATGAAAGTAAAATCGCCAAGAGATTGTCTCGGAAAAGTAGAAGTGAGAACTACGCAATTGTGACTTTATTTTCCTTTCTTAAACCGTTGTTTTGTTACCCTTTATACAATTAAATCTTGCATAAAAATGTTTTTGTTGTATAATTTATCCTTCCAATCCTTTGTAAATCCTCAGTTTGCGCGTACTTCATTTAGATACAGTATAAGCAATAAAAAAATGAAACGGCTAAAAAACATCGAAAGTGAAGCAGAATTTAAACAAACATTACTTCTACACATATTTATTCATCATATTACAATACAGTTTTTCAGCTGCCATAAATTGCTTATTATGTTCTTGCAGTATTTATAAACTCGCCTTTTTATCGACATGTTTAAAATAAAATTAATTAAGCGCGGGTTCAAGACTGTGGTTTTCCAGATACTGTTAATTCATTTTTTAAATGTCGGACCAATAAAGTTGAAGTATTTAAAGTGGAGAAGAAAGGCATGAGCTATCACTTACATAATAAACCAACAATGCACTTTTTTTGGTGCAAAAGCTTACTTTGTAAGCAACAAAGTCCTTCAATTAAAATCCTCAACCCTCGTATCAAACTAATTAAGTAAGTAATTTATCAATGATTCATGACAACTGAAAAAACATATTTATTATATATTAAACATTTTTTAAATATATTGCCATACAGTTCTTCAGCTGCCGTGATAAGGGCAATTTAAAACATCCCAGTTTAAGCTGTTTTCAAATAAAAACTGAATATACGCACATTTCGGGCTTTGTATTTATTTGTATCGCCGAAATTTTCAATTCCATGTTCTTCAAAAATGAAATTATTAACCAATTTCCATTTGTGTAAGTCTCAATTAGGATTATCGATTGAGAGTGGCCCAAAAGTCACTATACAGACAAATTATGAGAAATGTGGCAAAGTTTCCTTACATTAAAAAACCTTCAACCATCACCCACCTAAAACTAATTAACTACGTAGATGTTCAAATTTTCAGGACAGCTGAAAAACCATACTTATTTAAATACGTTCACAAAAACTAAAACTCTGCAACATACTCAAAAATAATTCTTCTGATGCGTACACTTTAAAATAACGATTAAGTAGATATAAAATATGCGGGATATTTGAGGATAATTCAATTCGCAACATCTAGGCTTAGCAGTGACTTTCTAATGATAAAAAACTGATAATTTCTTAGTTCTAAAATACTTTGAGTGCGCAAATAAATAAGAATGAAGTCTTATGTGTAGGATACTACTAGAAGCCTCGGCTGCATATAGTACTAAACTATTAATCGATTTGCCTTTATTTGTATAGTACTGCCGTTGAAGAAACAATACCTATCACAGAACAAAACGTTAAAAGAAAGCAGTACAACTGAAAGAGAAACGCAAGGAAATTAAATCAACTTAGAAGAATGCACAATTTGGAATTATCTGCAAACAGTTGTGCACTAGTCCATAACTCTTAACGTATCTTGATTAAAAACAACGAAAATCAAATTGTTTAACATCTAAATAGAAACCCATTGAAATCTGATGATAAACGATCAATGGACAGTAACAAAAAGATTTTCTACTTTTCCAATAAAACAGGAAATAATGCATCTTCATGCGAGTAAACTAATGCAGCTCAAGAGACACCATTTGGAAAAATATAGTCATTACTATGCTAGGTGCTCTTTGTCGATAACTTAACCTGCATTAGTGTCCCACTTTTTGGCTAATCAGCCGAAAAAGGACATAATTTATTACTATACATATATAGATATATATGATATTATAACACTAACCCTCTTAGTCGAGTTCAGTTAGCCTATAGCAAAATATAAACCCAGACAGTTGCGATAAAATATAATAAAAATAACATTCAATAATAGGCACAAAGTAAAATTAACAGAAATTTGCAACTGTCTTATTTCGTCTGGTTACTTACCGAGAACTCCCGTTTTGATTGAGTTTATACTGAATCCATTAAATTCACAAAAACTTAGTAGTACTTTGGCATTAAGTAACCAGACTCATCTCTAATCACGCGCTCTCTACTCTTCGATAAACCATCTTTATTGTCGCAAAACCGCTCGATGAACAAACCACAATCTTTCCTATATCACACATTCCGGATATTCCCTACAGAAGTTTTCATTTCGACATTATAAAACAGTTAGTAGTAGTTAAACACAGCATTCTTTTTAAATATAATATTCAACACCGTAGCCTGGAATAGCGACGGCTAGAGTAATTGCACAAGACTTTCATTGCAACTTTTGAGCGATCTTTAACATATGTACGCTGTTTACAATGTGTCCGTTATACATCACAGATAGTACTTTGAGAATCTCTTGATCTCAACATATAGTTTGCTAAAATGCGCTTTTCCTTTCTCGGGTTATTCAGTTAACAGATGCATTTACGTTTTTTAGTTGCCACCCAAAAACAAAACACGCTAAATATGAACCGAAAAGCGCACTCAGTCTCACAATCACATTTAACATATAGATCGTTTTTCCTTAGACGTTTGGACAAGATTGAAGATTTATAATATTGGCAATAGAGTAAGTTATGTTATCACTTTACTTTCAGGTACTACTAGGATCTTAATACATTCTGGTTACCAATTGAGAGCAAATATACAACATTCCTGTGCGCGTGTATGCCCAACACGGCACCGTTTTGGCAAAGGGCTTCCACATTCGAAAATATATCACAGTTTCAAGCTTTTCAGCTGTCGTTTGCGGATATGTGGCCCCCTGTTTAAATAAACTCTGAAAATTCGGCTCAACAGTCATTCAACAAGTTTTCCTTTAGAATTCAATGGTAAATTATTAACGCACTTTGTAGTGTCGCTTATAGAGTATAGTCGCTATAAACCAGGGTTTTGTTATTGCTCCAGAATATTATTTTTATTTGGAATCTCCTTATTAATTCAGAATAGATTTCGGACACATTAGAAGAGCCCATAGCAAAAAGTTTAATTTTAGTGAAAAAAATTGAAAAATGTCTTGTATTTCCATATTTTGATTTCATGGGACTTTTTTATACAGTTTTTTTTTTTAATTCATTCGGCACATAAAACCGCTTTTCTTTAGTTAAATTATCAAATCAAAGCGTTTCTCTTCCGCTATATCGATACTTAATAAATGCCTAATAATATTGCATTTTGTGGTCACAAAAATAATTTGCTAAAAATATAATAATAAAAAATATGTATTTTTGGTTGATTTATCTGCAAAAAATTTTCAAATTATACCAACTACTTTCTCCCAAAAAATTCTGGATTTTCTTTAATCGCCCAAGCTAAACTTTTGCCATAATTTTTTGTCAGTTCATAATTTTTTTAAATCAATTTTAATATAACCCAACATACCTTACTAAGGTATCAACCAACTTGTAAAATCACTTTTACAGCCAGTTAATAATCTTTCACGATCAATTAATATTTTTTCTTACTTCATGGACAATATAAAACCGTTTTTTCGCCATTGTTGACCATTATTCGGTTGATAAGCTAAGACCTCACCCAACAATTAACGAATCAAAGTAACCACTCCAATAAAGTGGATTTTGTAATGAACAGTGTTCCTAACGGTTATAAATGCTGTTTAAAATCCATAAACATTTTTTGTTTGATCCATTTTGGATGACCTAAAGTCATTCCTGAGCTGGTACCACTATAGATTATCTAAATTCCATTCCTGTAGTTGAAATGAAAGCTTTGGTTCTTTCAGCGACGATCGAACCAAATTATTAAATTTTTTAAAATAAAACGCGTCAGTATATCGAACGGGCGATTTTAAAAAAATACACCTATGTAATGCACGTCAATAATTTATCATTAGAATGCAGTTCTTTGCCCGACATAATACCCTGTGTCGCCAAGAATAACCCTAATATTTGCTCTCCCTATACATAGATATATTCTGGAATGACTACTCAGTGATTAAACCAGATATTTGGTCATGTGGCTTAATTTTAAGAACGATGGTTACAATTAATAATACAAAACCGTTTGTGTCGTTTTTCTGATAATACGTTCGGACACAAATCCGGTTGCTGATGTCAACATCATTAGATGGTTAGTAGTAAATTACTTCACAGGCTGCTCAGTTTCTATATAAAGTGATAAAATAAAGCATAAAACCATTTCTGCTGACAACTGTAAAGTAACTGAGCACACTTGAGAAATAACACTTTAACACTTCAATAAGTCAGTTAATTATCGTTGACAAAAGCTAGACGATTGGTTGTATTAAGTGGCTGGTTCATTGCTTAAAATCTTCTAGATTCCAGCGACTTAGTCAACCGTTTTTAAAACATATTTTCATAAATTTCTCCTCTCATCAATCAAACAGTTAAAACAGATGAACGGTTAGAAATTGAAAGTTTGCATACTACAATTATAAACAACACACTTTAACACAGTTTTTTGAAACTGACAATACTGGAAAAAGTCTACGCAATTCGCATTATCGCCTAGTCAAAAAGCGCTCTTTAGTTCTATTAAATAATTAAGAGATAATGCTGCTTTGTAACTAGCCAATGGCGTGAATTTTTTCGAAATATAGCACAACCAATAAGAAGAATCAGTATATATTTCTCTGCTTAGGTACTCGTTTTTAAAGTATTTTAACTAAACTTCCATACCTACTACCTTATTGCATCTTCCGCAAGCAAATAACCGTTTATTTTGTGTCGGTTTTAAAATAACTTCGGAAGTTTAAGAGAAAATGCCACGTTCTTACAGGTACTAGTAGTTATCATAACAGACAGATAACAAATATTATTTTTGTTGCATAATCGTTGCTTTGATCGTATCATTTTTAAACTTCTTTGATCACAGATGATTTGGTTCTTATTACTAGGTTTGAAATGTTATTTGCATGCAACTGTTGTCATTTTGTGAGATCTACTTGCTTAAAGCCATAACCGTGTATACAAGAACTCAATGTACATGTAAAACTGGATTTTCTGTCGTAAAACACTAAAACCGGCAAAATAATGTGTGGATGGCACGTCTGCAAGATGGCCTAGTTAGTTGCACACATACTTTGAGCGAACCCGGAGCCTAGCTCTAATCTCTTCCGCCAGATACTCCTTAAGGAACATAAAAGGTGTTTTGAACAAATTAAAACCAGATAACTTAACCGGGCATGATGGACAATATTGAGGATAGAAGTTGGTGTTTCTATGTTAAATAACTGTTTTGGCTTAATGTAGGTCTGCCAGTATATATGGCAGTAAGAACTCATCCGAATCTCCTAATGTAGGATCAATAATGACTGGATGCAGATCGCCAGAATAGATCGGTTTCCAGGCGCCTTTTAGATTTTTTTCCACTTCCTAATGTAGAAAGTTGTATTAATCACCAGTTTTTTACTATTTATTTTCGTACTCTTAATGCTTTTATTAGCGCAACTCGACTTAAATAAATGTTCATTCCCAAATCTTCAGACCCGTTTGAGTGAGTTTGAGTTAGCTGATATTGCTATTTATATTGCAACTAAAACCAAATATATGGATTTTTGTAAATATCAAAGCGCCAGTGATCAATGGACTTCTATGAAGCAGCTTAAAAAAATTCAATGAATCGCGATCAGTGTGTGTGGTTAAGCCAAACATTTCAGATCTGAACAGAATAACGTAGAAAGAGAATAAATAGTGTTCCCAACGAAAACTGATAATCCACGTTGTCACAAGTAAACTAAGAACATACCTTGATCGGATTTGCTCGATAGCGTATCGATTCGGTCACAATATCATTCTTGGGAATTTCCAGTTTCTTCATTCTGGAACCTTTCAGCCTGCCGATCGCGACTAGATTTTCTTCTGGATACTTGTAACCATACAAAACTAGTTCTTCGAACTGGGTGCACAGCCAAGTGATGAGAACTAATGGATCCGGATTGTGTGAAGGCCTCAGGAACTTCCAGCTGCCCGGCACATTACTTAACGAATCTATCCACATGACGCTGCGTAAAGTATTTTTATAGAATCTTGATAAAATGTGCAATAGCTCTAGATTCACCTAGAGGAGAGAAACGTTTCAACTGAGTCCACACGCGATCAATCATAGAGTGCTGTTACTTACATATTCGCAGAAAAACACTTTGATGTGGCTCAGGGGCATGTTCTCTTTCAGAACTTGTAGATGCAACTTGCGGATGTCCATGTAGGCGTGGACTACAGTTAACCGCAGCAAACATTTGGGATGCGCGACTTTGAAGTTCTTCCAAGCCTCATTCGAGGTCTCGCTATGGTTGGTCGGAATCGCATGTACATGTACGATCAGTCTTTGCAGATCATTTAATTCCTTCAGATTGTGTAGGAACGTGTTGGATAGTTGATCATAATCAACACTTAGAATCTGCAACGAATGAATTGAAAATAACAAATTAATTGGCCAATTCACTTGAATATTACCTGCAATTTTTTGAATGACGACATTAAATCCGGTGTAAAATAATTCATTTGATTTATTGCTAGGTTGTCTCTGATCGATGCTAGTCCAAGCAACGTGATTTTAGAAGGCGATGCGTTTCTGAGAAAGGAGTCACTGAAATAGGCCAGATCTTCCAAGCCTCCTAAACTAAATTCTCTTAATTTCGGCAACACGTCTAGTATTAAATTCCTGATTTCTATTATGCGTCGTTCTCCACTGAAAAATACAGAAAGCCAAGGTAAGTAACAATAGAACATTATAAAAAAAGTTTAGTTTTCGCAGGTGAGTGCGAACTGGTGAGATCTAGAGCGTTCACGCCGTAGTGGAAAAAAATTTTTACTAACGTTTTTGTTTAAAGTGTTTGCTACCCAGCAGGAAAAACTCGCTGGGTTTTGCTAAATTGACATGTTTGATGGTTTTTCAAAGAAGTTGGTGACAAAATTTGAATAGAATTTGTTATATCATTAAGGTATCTATAAACTGTTCTTACCCTGCACATATTAACGAGTCTACGGAGTCGTCAAGTCGACAATGCGACGGTTCAATCACCAGACTCCTCAAAAGGTTGTTTTTGTGTAACAGCCGTAGCAGGTCTATGAATTCATCTATACACTGTGGCGTCAAACATTCTAAGCTTATAGTGGCTTTCGAAACAATGGACGCAAAAGTTGAAGCCAGAAATTTCGATTTTGTTATATTGTCGTGATTTATACGGAACGTGACCGCCTTCCACCACCTGTAAATATAATGCGCATCAGTAAAACTGTTGAGTAGCTAGAATAGCTTCTGTATCTACGCTGGGATTAGTTTGAACGAACAGAGTGAGTGAGAAGTGAGGATTTTCAATTATACAGGATGTTCACAAATAGTCATTTTGTGAACTAACTTTCTTAATTCCAATGGGAAACCACCAACAGTTAAACGTGAGCAAATAACAAGAAAGACAACACAAATTGGTTGTAAAATTGAAACAAACTGCACAAACATAAACAAAAATAAAAAATAGCTGATCCACTTGAAAGCTTTCAAAAGTACGTCAATTTAGTATATTGTTTGATGGCGAATAGGTAGGGGCGTGCGCGATTTGCTCTATCAAAAGGTGAATATTTTCGGTTATTTTCGTTTTTGTTGACAAAAATCCGCAATTTTCTGAAAGACAAGACTTCCCTTCACCGGTTTGTCGTATTTTCCCGACCGGTAGGTGCAATTTTAATCAAATAAAACGCAATTTTTTAAAACAAGAATGTTCTGACGTTTATTGACAACCCCAAGGCAGCTTCAGATACGTGTGCCAACTGGCGATGAGGACTGAAACCTGTTGACATTGACAAGGAGTTGGACAACTTAGTTGGAGTTTTGAGAAGTTTTTGGAAAGTTTTTAAATAATTCGTCTATAGCACAATACTATCTGAATACAGAAATAGTCTCACATACTCATCTTGGTGAGCGAAATTTTTTCAATTGTGATTTTAAATGGTGTTGGATCCAGACTAGGCATTTTTCAAAACCTAACATTCGCTTTTTAAAACTTTTATTTTAAAGTAGTGGTTTAGCAGACACATTGTCTTCAGAGTTTATATTCGTGCTATGAAGATCTTGTAAACAAGTCCGCCTGAGTTTATGGAGTCATAAAATCATTTTTCTTCTTTTTTTCCAAAGACTTTTCATTGTAGGGCGAATTTAAGAGTTTGCCTTCGGATTGATTGCTATTTATTTATATTGTAGTGTGCATTCGCTGTTTTTCATTATCCATGAAGTATTTCTGATGTCATCAATATTTTACTTTGCCTTCATTTATTGTTTAAAATTAGCTTTGATTTATCGCTTTACCCATCAATCTATCGCCTTATATTGCGAATAAATAGCCTCTTCGGTGATTCCTGCTTTTTGCTCGATTTTTATAGTTTCAGTCAGGACGTCACTTATTCGGCCTTCCACTATCACGGTTTGCATTTTCTTTAAATTTCATGATCCTTCTCTTTTTTGGCATTCCATTCTCAAAAACATCCTCATTTTCAACGAACATTTTGCAAATATCCTTGAATCTCATGCAATAAGTGAACATTTGTTGAACTTTAATAGTTAGTTTAGTACTGCAGCAATTGCGTCATAGATAGTGTTATCATCGTATAGAGCGTGGTCTGTGTACTAACACTTAATATGTCTCAAGCTAAACTTACTTGGGATGGAAATAGATTTCTCGCCAATGTCGACAAACACATGAGGCATTTTTGCGATCTTCAGGGCTGAGATACTGAAAAATCTGCTGCAGCACTACGGTTGGCAAATCCGCCCATCTGGCGCCAGTCGGTCCCCAGCTGCTGCAACATTTTGACTTTTTTGGCTTAGAGCATTCTCCATGGTTTTCCATATCTGGAACATAAGCAGAGACACTTATAGAACCCCATTGGGGGTGTTCACATCTCACAAGGCCAGTTGCGCCTCATGTTACACTTAAAATGGGATGTCACCAAACGGCAAATGTGAGGGCTTGTTAGTGATTATTAGTAGGAAATGCAGGACAACGGCCACGTATTTTGCAACAGAAAAAACGTCAAAAACAATACGAACATTTTTGACACGAAACCTGTACACACTTGCGGATTTTGTTAATGAAACATATGGGGGCGACGTGATTCAACTTACCTCTAGTCCGCTAACACATTCCTTTGTTGTGCAAAGTGCAGAAAAGCACCTTTTAATCTCCGTCAACAAAATGGCAATGAAAAAGGAAAGTTTAAAAACGTACTGCGCAACAATTTCCGAATTTCCAGGCCCTGGCATCGAACAGTTGACGCAAAACTCGAACAGCTGTGCAGAACAACAATAAAGTAGATTCCGCCGATGCCAAATTCTCCTAAATAGGAAAAAACTCGATTTAGCCTACATATGTAATTTTCTAGTTTACAGTTAACAATATGCTCGTCTTACTAGTTTTCTAACAACTTTTCTTTGTGGTCGATTTTCGATCCCTTTTCACCAAGGAAGTACTTGATTTTTCTTGGAAACATTTTGGAGGTTTTTGCTTTCGTCAGATTTCTTTAGTATTTGCTATACTGGTGACTTAATTTTTTCTTAGACACATTTACCATCTGCCCATATAGATGAAAAAGCCACAATTGCCACAATTTTTATGAAAAACCATTGAAAGATATCCAGAAAAACCGACAACATCTAATGAACTTGCGCTTCTCTGACAGGAAATGTCAAAACTCACCCCTAACCTCCAAACGTTATTACCAAGCGATTTTCTAAGCAAATTGGAAAACTTTTGAACCAGGTTCACTTTGAGCAATTTGCCGTAAACATGGAGTGTCTTTTGGGAGTGAAATTCAACGACTTTGTGATAATCGCAGCGGATAGAACTGCTGCCAACAGCATCATGGTAATGAAGTCAGGTAAATACAAATCCGTGATTCAAACAAATTGCCCATAACTATGCCAAAAATTGCAGATGAAAATAAGATCTATAAACTCTCTAACCAGTTGGTGATGGCCGTGTCCGGCGAATCTGGCGACACCACGCAGTTTGCCGAATATATTGCAAAAAACATTCAACTGTATAAAATGAGAAACACTTACGAACTGAGCCCCAAGGAAGCCTCAAGCTTTACTCGAAGGATTTTGGCTGATACTCTTCGAACAAGAGTAAGATTTAAGGACGATTTTTTACAAGCAGATTTCAATAATCTAAACTTTTTTCAAAATGAGAATTGCAGTACTTGATTGAGTACAGACAATGGGCTTATACTTAAATCCCTCTGGCCTATTTTATTGGCGTGGTTTATAAGCCACAGTTCAAGTGCTGATAGTTAAAGCCAAAACTGACTAAAGTAGTTCTCTCTGTTATTTACATACATTGGTGTCAAAAAGAATGGGAAAACATAAATAAGAGTCACTACCTTTTTGAATCTGTAGAATCCTTACCACAAGCAAAATTTGTTTAGTCAAAATGAATGGTACTCAAGAATTCGAGTGAAGTATTTTTCACTATCTAAAAACCCTATGATATAAAGCCTTTTAATTGCCAAGAAAACTACAGTTTACTAAGGAAATAATACTTAAACGATGTTAAGGAAACTTCAAACTTATCATTATACAAAGCAAAAAATCACCTTGGAACTATGACAGTTATTGCCTAAAACATGCTTTTTTTGTATTAGTCTCCATACATGGTAAATCTGCTATTGGCCGGCTATGACGAGAAAGAAGGACCGCAGCTGTTCTACATGGATCACCTGGCATCAGTAGCCAAAGTAGATTATGCTGCCCATGGATATGGAGGCTTCTTTTCGCTTTCCATTATGGACCGCAACTACTTGAAAACAATGACCCAAGAGCAGGGCTATGAGCTTATGAAGAAGTGCGTTGAGGAGGTTCAGAAACGGCTGATCATCAATCTGCCCAACTTTAAGGTGCAAATTGTAGATAAGAATGGAATCAAAGATATGCCCGATATTACTGCTAAGTCATTTATGTAATAACGTGATGCATTTTCAATAACATTTTTTTCTAAATGATGTGTTAATTACCCCGTAATTTTCCGTCCTACAATCCTACGAAAAAAAACACGGCTTTTGTTGAACTTTTAATAGAAAATAAAAAACAATAATTTGCTATATATCAGCTATCAATATAAATAATCTGAAATGCGAATTTTAAACTAAATTTTTATATATTTCTGTAGTGTTTGATAGAGAAATTAAAAGAAACTATTTAAATAGGAATCTTAATAAACAAACAAGTATACTGGGAGAAACGCGTTCTTCACCTCTAAGGCTAAGGAATATAAAATTTGGAAGATTTTTTATTCTAGTACTTAGTACTTGTTACTTACTACCAGCTAGTTCAAAGGAATTTCGAAGTGTTTTGTATATCACAATCACACAATTTCTGTGGTATGCAATTCTTAAGACAAGCCCCAAAAACGATTTCCCTATAACTTAACAAGACAATTTGTTCGTTAAGTTATTTGGAATTAGTCTCTGTTTATGCAATTAGCTATATCATAAATATTAAATTTTTCAGTCTCTAAAAGGCATGTCTTATTTTTCTTTAATCCTGTTGAAAGTCTGGAAATGTTGAATATTTTCACCATCAGCTGACGTGCGTTTGAAGATGCCATTCACCGAAGCACTAGAAATATGTGGGTTTTCTCTATAGATAAACGTGTTGGATGGAAGACCAGTTTGTTAGTTTACAATTCAATGTAGAGAACTACACTTTCTGGCGGCTGCATTATTCAGATTAATATAAATTAAAAAACGACGTTTTTAATTTAATCTAATCAATAAATTTACCAGTTTTATTAAATGCTAGCAATATGACAATATTGTAGCATGTTCATGACGTCGGTGGAACACTTTATAGCGTTTTTGTTACTTTGCAAAACACAAGAGTGTATACCTAACCATTGCCCCTACAGCAACTGTTGTGTGACATGTTAAAATCACCCATACGATCCAATATTCAACGATTCCAGAACTTTGAGAATTGGTAGATACCACGAATTAATTTTATTTACCTAATAATAACGAAATAAACGATGAAAACGAGTCTCATGGACCAGGTCCGCTGTACGGATTATTTATTTAACTTTTTCTTTCTTCGATGATGCCGGCTGCTGCTTGCTCTCTTTCAGTTCTTTCTTTTTTTGCTCTTCCTCCTTCTCGTGATCGGCATCTTCATACCTTTAAGCAATTAAAATACGGATCATATTACCGCATGAGTTGAGCGTTGACAAACGTATAATAATTCAACTAGTTGTATTTAGAGCACTTACTTGAATAAAGCTGTCAAGTCTCCCTTAACTAGGGCCAGTGCCATAGGAGTAGCAAGACATGCGGGCACCAAATATAACAGAGCCGGTTGGGCATGCTTGAACACATGCATGACCATAATGGTGGCCATTAATCCCATGAAATAAGCTGCCACCGTGACATGGAAGTATGTTTTGGTTTTGCGTTTTAAACTGTAATCAAACCTCAGCAAAAGGGCAATAAAAATGCCCGGAATAACGATGTCTCCTAGTCCTAACATAGCGAAGTTACTGGCTGATAGTCCGTTAGTCAGAAGATCTTGAGGGAACACCACTGGAACAATTCCACAAATTAAGGTAACCACTGGTTATTGAATTATTCAATCTTTCAGCCGACTTACGTTTAATGGGTGCCTCGAAACTCTTCGCCACCGTTACCATGACGTCAGTCCCAAAGACCCAGAAGATATCATAGAAGAAAAGTCCACATAACAAGATACATCCAGTGACTACATTGTTCAAGTGCAACAGTTCAACTGCATTGACTGCAAAGGCTAAGCCGAACAAATTGTTGGCTATCCAGTGCTTTTGCAATAAGTACCAAGCCCCCACTAGAGAGCAAGCAGCCAATGAAACAACGTCGTATGTGGAAAATCTATAGTCTATTAAGTAGTGGGCAGTGTCTCCTTCGCCCTGCTTGAACATGATGTGAAATGGAATGTTCGGAATGGCAGTTGGAACTAATTTTCCAATCACAGGACTAAAAATATCATTTAAATAATAAATTAAAAACTTAGGATAATGATCATCAAACTGAGCATACCTTAACAAATGGGTAAGTGCTAATACACCCAGGAAGAAAAAGTAACCTGTCAACAACAGGTTGATGTACTCCTTGGAGAACAACTTGAAGACTATGTACAGAGCGAATAGGGCACACGAGGCCATTATGGGGAAAATTGCTGCGTCCTTTTTGGTCATTTTTTCAGGTTTCTGGAAAGCAAACTAGTATGTCCAAGTGCGTTTTTATTTTTAACAAGTTATGTAAAATAATGATGCATTCAGTGCCAAAAAAATGAACTGTTGATTTACGTTTGCTGCGCAAAGTGGGTGCGATAGTTGGTTTGTTTTTCAGAATTAGCAAGCGTTGCGAATACAAAGTAATCAATAATAACGTCGAGAACCAATTTGACTGGGGCAACCAAGCTAAGTAACTTTTCGTGTTTCTTTAAATCATATACTTAATGTTTTGTAGTAACCAATGCCGGTAAAATGTCTGAATAAAGTCATTTCACCCAGCCAGTGAAGGGAATGTTTAAATGAATAAATAATATGTTGCATATGAGCAAAGAGATAACGTAAAAGCATGAAGAACTGGAATGTTCAAAAATTTTACTAAGCGTCATTTCCCTTCGTGCTCTTTATATAAAACAGTATTCAGAAATATATTGGTTCTTTCTCTGTTAAAAAATGCGTCGTCGGAAAGAAATAAAACCCTCACAGCCAGGGCAGTTAGAACTGAAAATGAGTTAAAAACAGATTCCACATAATGAAAATTTGAATTCAAACTTCGAATACAGTAGATGTAAAGCAAAGAAAGTTCACCCTATGTAGGTTTCAACCCCTAAAACCATCCACGCCATAACTCTTAATTCTTGTTTGTGAAATATTACAAGGATAGATTGCTTTGAGACCTTCTGATGTAAGCCTTGGAATATTGCTGGTATGAAAGCCAAATGATGTTAATAACTCATTAAATATCTGGTACGCGGCCAACGAAAACTTTTTTAGAAACAATGGAAAACGTGATTTACAAAAATTGTCACACTTTGGAAGCTACCAAAAATTGCTTGGATAAAAATAGACATTAGAGTACTGGCGTGGTGAAAAGCATGTATAATTCGTAGTAAACTGAATATTCTGTAAGTGTATTAACAGATAACATTAAATCCTGGAACACAGCTAAACAATACTTGTAATAAGGGACTCCTTTATGCGTCTTGAATTCTCGATAAAAGGATTGTTTTTGACGATTCTACGAAAGGTCAAATAATTTAGGACTTTGATAAATTTCCATTGAATCGAATAAGCTATTTCTGATATATTTAAGTAATTAAAATAAGTGCCAGCTGGCCCAAGTGCCAGATGGAAAAGGTTTTCTGGTGGTTTCTCTACCAATATAAACTTGTCGTGAGACCCAAATGCTCAACAAAATGGCCCTGTATAACAACTATTTCAAGGCAAGAACATCGGTTTTTATCGCATATTAGAAAAAAATCATACCTTTTCCTTATGGTAAATAACTGATCGGTAAGAACCGAATATTATGGGCAACATTGCCATAAAAACAATACATCCATAGGCAACAGCAATTCCCTCCGGGGTACTTGGAGGCTTCTCCGTTTTATTGGTAGCATTTTCTGTTAGATTTTCAGCCGTTTGAGCTAAAATACTTCTCACTAAACTTTCCATGTTTTTCCAAAACTACCTGACGGATGACGTGTGAATGTTACAGACACTTTTTGCGACAATTGACAAGACTGGAATGACGTTCTTTGAAAATCGTGCGCGTGGCTACCATTGAAATATAATTAAATAAATCCTACATATTCCAGTATTTTTTTCATATTAAAACCTTAATGTTACTCCGTTCAAACTCAATCCGTTTATTCTAATTTAATGTATGAAAAGCATGGCAAAACACAACTGGCAATAGTTTTCTGTAAAATTGATTGAAAATTTTAGGTAGGACCTCTCTTTGGCGCTGCCAGATCTACCTCAGTTTGCCTCTGAATTTAACGCGCGTATTTAAACTGATAATTACAGAGATTTTTGTTTCTCTGAAAAGAAAAAATCTTTTCGTTTACAGAAAATTCAAAACAATTATCGAATAAGTAAATCCTTATGCCTTGAAAGACATTGTCACATATAATTTGAGTGTGACATTTTGAAACTTGTTTCCTCCAAGTTATTTTTTGATTTTCTCGTGAAAAATAGGCGCGCAATGGATTTTCCTCATTCAAAAAGCGAAGAAGAAGTAAATGATGAAAAGCTGGTGTACGATTTTCCATATGCGAATCTTCGGGACGTGCCTTCGGCAGATTTGGAATATGTCAGGTGAAACATACAACTTTATAGGTTTATAGGCAGCGCTGGATTTAGGGGGGGGGGGCTACGGGGACCTCGGTAAGCTCTGGTATAAAATCAAATAAAAAATGGGAAGTTCAATGGCACTAGCGACGCCGAGAGGTCGTCAGAGGGATTGCGGCTTTTCAAAATGTCGCGACAAAATGGTGATATCGGACCTTTTTTTGAAAAGGGCCTTTACAGGGATTGTAGCCCCGGGCGCTACCACAGGTTAATCCGGCCCTGGCTAAAATCCCTGCGGAAGCCCTTTTCAAAAAAAAGTTTCGATATCAGCATCTTGTCGCGACATTTTCAAAAGCCGCAATCCCTCTGACGGCGTCCTGGAGTCGCTAGTGAAAATGAACTTCCGATTTTTTTAATTTTAATTTATACTAGATCTTACCGGGGCCCCCGACATCGTGAGGCCCGAGCTATAGCCCCCGTAGCCCCCCACCCCTAGGTCCAGCGCTGTTTAAAAAGTGAGTAAACACAGCTTACCGCTTACCGCTGAGTAAAACACAGGTTAAACCGGCCCTGTTTATAGGTTTATATTCAAAGAAACCCATTTAAAAACCGTAATTTGTATTCAATTTCGAATGCGGATTGTCAAATTACATGCATTTCGTAACTCCGCCTTCCGGACCTTCCGGTCCTTATAAAACACATTTAAATGTAAACCTATTCTTAACAAAAACAACTGGTCAAAACTGCAAAAACTAGAAAGTACTAGAAAATTTGATTGGTCGAACTTTACGCTGGCAGTTTTCGTTCAGCCGCAAGGCTTGTAAAGTTTGATGGTTTTCTCTGCCCCTTGTGCACGTTTAGTACGTGCACGTTGTTGGATTTATTTGAAATTGGCGCCTTTGGGTTTTGATTTTCAGGAAGTTTACAGTAATGTTCACAAGTGCGCAAGTTTGTTGTAGTTCAAATTGTGCAATTATAAAGTAAAGTATTTTTCAATTGTGAAACTTTTGTATCAAGTACACTGCAGGAGATCAAAATCCCAAGACACGTTTGGGAAACTCTAATTCGTTTTTTTATATCTCGTAAATTTGATGGCGATTTTGATTAGCCGAATTACCAGAATGGCAGAAATTTCGAATGCTTGTTAATGAGGTGATAACATCAGAGTGAAATATTAAAAGACAGTAAAATTTTCTTCTCTAACTTTGGAAGAAAAAATCTAGTCCAAATGTGTAGGTCGTCCAAAGACGCTCATGAAAACGTACTTAGACTTTGAAGCCGAGTGAAATAACACGATTTTTTAAGGAAATGCTTACCCCACTTGTTGAAAATCAGCCAAACCAGCATTTTCTACACAAATCTTAAGGCAGTAAGACTGACGTTGGAGTTCACGATTAACGTGCTGAATGCGGCTCCTTTTCAAGCCCTCGATAGCAAGGAAACGTTCGGCGAAGTACTGACTCTACTTCGGGAACTGTTGCTCGGGTGAGGTTTTACTACGCGAAAATTTACTGGAATAATTCAGCGATTGTGTTTCAGATCTATGAAATACAACAAGTTTAGCAATATTTTCCCGGACATTTCCCCTGTTTTTCATTTAGTGTTCTACGTGTCTGAGCTGGGTATCTTTTGCGCAAAAAGCGCTAGCATTTGTGAGCCAATTTTACAGCAAATGCTCAATAAAGTCGGCGATTACATGCTGATAGATAAACTTTTGAGTGAGACGTTGGATAACTTTCAAAAAATCGGAGCCCTGGTGGAAATGTCCAGACTATCAGACACTGTACTGCGCGGGTAATTGATTGGAACACAATCCAACCAGTATTTGATTCTAATTTGTCTGCTCATTTTGAAGATTTCCTCTTGAAAGCTCCACATACAAACTATGCGCTTGTTGGCTAACTCAAAACGCACTCGAAATTTTCAGTCAGCTAACTGTGGGGGTAAAGTGGTGGTGCCTTTTAGTGTAGAAATTTTCAAAAAAGCTTAGTGTTTTTAGCCCCCAGAAAACGATGCACAGTTTGCCAGCCTTATGAACAACATTAGCACGTTGTTATTGAAAGTCGCCTCCGCACAAAGCAATCCGATGGTGGAAAAGTACCAACAGACACTGTTGCTATTTGTGGCCGAATTAAAAAGCCTCACACCAACGCTGATTGAACTTTGCGGCCGGGAAGCCTGTGCGTTGACTGCAAAGGCACTCTTAGGTAAAATAATTTGAGCCTTCACTTAACCAGTCATGTAATTGAAATATGCACATATTTCTTTCAGGTCACGTATTAGTGTTCTTCTTGGAGGAACAGGACATGTACTCCGACAAGGCGGTAAACACCAGTAAGGAAGACATCGTAAAATTCCCGGCAAAGGTGGAGGATTGGCCGAATCAGTGCTGCGGCACATTTTTCTGGCTTTGCCATCTGGTTTACCAACATCAAAAGTACGAAGTTAGACAATGGGTTTAATAATTTAAGTAGGCATCAGGATTTTCCTTCAACCTGATGCTGTAGGGCACATTGTGAATGCAATTGGTGTTCGAGACAGATTTGGCTGCCAAAATATCTCGGACTAGCTTCTTCCGAAACGCCATGAATTTCTTCTCTTTGATCCATTCGTCAAATATTTTTCTGGTCGAGGGGATGTTTTTGTTCAGAAATTGCTGCACTTTACTCCAAATGTTGTCCTTGTTCATCTTTATCAGCCAGTAGCGGGGGATCAGCAAGCAATGGGTGTTGGTATCAGCCACCACTCTTCGTCGCTCAAATAATTCCCCCACATTGAAAATAGCCCCTTCGGTGAGTTCACACACCTTGATGAAATGGGTTTCCATTTGAGACTCCTCCATGCAGGCATCTCTTGATATACTGCTGGTGTTGGAATTGGTGGAATCTGCAGTAGAGTGTTTTGGAGCAGTCGAAGGCGGTAATATAGTGGCTACTTTGGATTTGGGTAATTTTCTGCGTTGGGATATGCTGCAGGCTCTAGTATTCGAATCGCAAGTCACCAGCCGGTACCGTTTGAGCCCATGCACATAATGAACTAGCACCTACAAGCCAGTTATTTGGGTGCTTTCATATTAACTTTTTCAACCTTTGAGTACTTGCAAGTGTTCTATAATGCTGCAACTTCCTTTGGTGATCAAATATGAGTAGGTTGGCAGACCCACTCCGTCCCCCAAAACCACTTCGTCCGCCTTGTAGGTTTTCGTTCGGGCAATGATGCTGCATTCGCGTTTAGTTACCGCATCCCAGTTTTTAAAGTAGGAATATCTGTATGGAAATCACGAGCAATTGAAACGTATGTTTCAATTTCATTTGTTGGGAGTGTTTCTTTTAATTTTAAATCCTTGTCAGCTAGTTTTAAAATTGGCGAAAGAACTTTCGATCAACTACTTGTCCGTTTACCTATTCATAATTTTGGTGATTTCCTCCCAAGCTTTCCACACCGTCTCCTTTAAGACGATGTCAAAGTCCTCCTTTTTTATCATCAACAGTTCGCAAGGCATCGTGGTGGTGATGGTGGCGGTTCTAGCTATTCCATGGATCAGAGCGACTTCGCCAAACATTGTCCCAGGGCCCACCGTACCTGCAAGCTACTTTTGAGCCCAACAAATGGCAATTTTTATCCTTTAACCATGCTCTTCTGTGATCCACTCGTTCAGTCCTTTGTCGTAGGTTTTCACTGTCACCAATCCTTCTCCGGCCAGCAGAAAGTACATGGCTGAAGGTGCGTGATCTTGTTTCACTATCACTCGGTCCGGACCGATGTACACAAAGTAGGTGACTGCAGCTAATTGGCTTTTGACATTGGGGGGATATCTTCTGAAGCACTTTAAGCCTTTAATAGATACGAACTAGTCTAGTAGAAGAAGGCCCCAGTCCCCTCAATTCACTTTCTCACCTCCAATGGCTCTATTGAGCAAATGCTTCTCCTCTTCGCTGCGCTCCTCCTTCGGCTTGCTCAGAATGATTTTCTCCTTGGTGGTTAAGGTGCTTTTCTTAATTTTCTTCCTGGTTAGCTTCTGGATGTTTAGCATCACGTTTTCTCCGAGAGTGTCGTCCAGATCGCCCAGCCAGAAGAGATTGGCCATCACCAGTCTGACGAAAGCCTTAAATCGACGCCGTGCACGGTTTTGACGAGCTATTTTCTCTTCAGGGCTAAGCCCTATTGGCCTTTTTGGGGCCATGTTTAGGCGAAGCTAATTACTTTGGAGGATTTGACAGTGAAACATGGAAGTTTGTTGAATTTGACTGTTGCCCTAACAGGTCTAAATATTGTTAAAAGCAGCCCAATTATCCCTCGGGGTACCTTTCTATTATATCTCTCTATCCGGTTTAGTTGTGTTTTTTTATTTTTTTCTGGATTTTTAGAACTGTTTGGCCCACCGAAGCTATTTGCACTGCCATAGGCCGTTTGCTTTATTCGAAACAGCACCTCAACCTTATTAATCCCTCTGTGTTGAAGTCAGTATTTTTCGTATATCCTATCATCTTGCAAAGTGAGCGCCAAACAAACTATTTTGCGTGTTTGTTTAACACTTTGATTTTTTTTAGCCAATGGCAAGATAATCAAAAAGCGCATTATTGGCAACGATCTGTTGAACGTCGTGCTGCCCAGGTTCATGCGCTTCTTGGATAAGATTCTGACTATTTCCACCGGACAACTGCTCTGGATTCTTTATAAGGGTCCGTGGAGTATCAAGACTGCGACTCTCGAATTTTGGCTGAAAAACGCAGAGGCGGAACAACTGGAAACTATGGAAGAAGTGTTGGTAGCTAGCAAATCGCAAAAACTGCTGATCTATGTGTTGCTATCGCTTAAGGATCCACATTCACCCGTCGCTAATCGGTGAGCAATCAAAACACTTTGAAAACACTTGCTAGTAGAGAAGTAAAATCCAATGAACCTTATTTCAGACTAACCGAAGTGATTGAAAACTTGCGAGGTCGAGTGACATTCAAGGAGATTCTCGTTTTACTTCCGCAAATTAGCGACAATATGGAAAGAGTGAGCGCGCTGTTAAAAATAGCCTGCGGTGAGACGCCCGAAGACAACACAGCAGCTAAAAAACTGTTCAAATATCTCCACTTAATACTGACAAAGCAGCCAGGCGACAATTTGCTTTCCAATGTCTGTTGTTTGGCTTCAAACGCGCTCAACGTCTTGAAAACGGACAAGGACTTCATCCAAGCCATTTGTGCTGAGCAGTTTTGGTTCAGATATCTCATAAGTAGATTGAATGGCCGGAACGAGAAGCTGCTGAAAGCCATTCTGGCCCTACTCACTAAGCTGATTAGCTATCAGGTAAAGGCACTCGTATATCGAGTGTACATCAAATGCCTTTGTAATGTTCCAGGACATGCCGGTTGACTCCAGCCAGCCAATCTGCATCAACTTGTCTCAATTATTCACAATTTCTCCAGAAGTATCGGCAAAAGTGGTCGCTTTCCTCCATCAGTCTTTCAAAGTACAAACTCCTTTCGCCATTAACAAAGACATCATATTGGATGTTTTTGACAAACTGTGCCAGTTAACTGAATCGCCGCTTTTGTCTGACAAAGTCTACGGTTGTCTGATGGGCCTGTTGAAGATGTACCCCGATGAGCTGATTCACTCACCCATTTTGGGAATGTTGGTGGAGGAACAGTGAGTAGAGAGACTGAAATCTGGGACACGATCCAACATTGATTGATTGACTACCAGGTGCCGGCTCACTAGTAGGAAAATGAACACATCGGAAAGTTTGAAGTTCGTCTTGTTTTGGATCAAAATGAAGTACCGATCGGGAATCAATATGTGTGGGTATTTGCCCAAAGAAGGTTTGATGGCTATGTTTTTTCAACGCTCAATGGGGATTCCAAAGTATATGGTAAGCTATTGTGTGATGATTTATTCTGAGCGTCCATCAGTGCTCTTATGGATGGATGTTTACACAATACTGGTTCACAAACTAAAGAATTTTTCAGTAGGGATGATATAATCTGCTTAAGAGAATGAACACAGCCAAATTTGTCTTAACTTGGAAACTGATTGCTTATAGCGATTTCGTTGTTGTTTTTTTCTAGCCCCATTTTTTTTCTCTTAGTTATTGTTTCGATAAAAATTATGAAGATCAGACACATTTTCTACAGGGTGGCAATTGAAAAAATTGCGGTGACCAAAACTACCAATTCTTCTGGGTGGACAAAAAGCAGTTTATTGGATCTCAATACCTCAGCAAGCTATTGGATTTTTAAACTTATGTGCTCGTTCTTCTACAGGGTGGTCTAAAACAATTTTTTCGCTTTGAAGCGATAACTTTTTTGCTCTGGGTTGAATTTTCCCGATCTAGAGCTCATATTGAAGCTAAAACTTCATAAACAATCCAACACAATAATTCGATATACAGAGTTGCAGTTCATCTGTTGATAAATTTTAGCGTGATTTCACCTTACACTAATCTAGGTCACCAATACCTAGTGCAAGAAGTGAAGGAAAAATTGAGTTAGTTGAAATATACGTTCACAAGAGTTACACCTTTCACAAAACCAAAAACTTTTCGTATTCTGAAAAAAAAACTTAAGCTTACATTCTTATAAGATCATATTGACTCGCGAGCTGAACCCACTTGACCATCAAAAGCGTCGTTGATTGAGTAGTTTGAAATTGGTCCAGAATTTGGAAAAAATATTCTTTTGGATGAAGCACATTTTCGGTTAAATAGTTTTGTGAATAAGCAAAAAATACACAAGAGACTCATAAGAATCCTTTGCATCTAGAAAGTTACTGTTTTGTGTGGTTTATGGAATGGATCATATAGATAGAGGCTCACAGATTTTTTATTTTCATAATTGATTTTGGACTTGAACTTGTGGTTGCAACAAGATGGAGCTCCATCAAGAATCTCCAAAAATACAACTGTTAATTGACCTCCGAAAAGTTGTGATTAGTACCCACTTGATTTATTTTTGTGAAAGCCGTTGGTCTGTGAGAACAAACCTCGAACTATGGACGCGACGAAATGAAATTAACTATCGAACGCTGCTGCATTGCTGAAATTAGAGTCGATTTATTGGAGAAACCAAAACCGTAGGTACTCTCGTTCGGGTTCTTATAAGTAGAAAATAAATTAACACAAGACAGTGACGATAGAAGAACACAATTCAATTTCAGTAGATTCCCAGAATCTCTCAGTCTTTTTTAGACCTGTTTGTTTCATTAATGTATCGGGTGTTTTTTTTTCAGATGAATAGATACCTGTTTTACATATCGGAGATCTACGACCGACAAGAAAGTTTAACTATTGACAATGATCCTCTCAACTATGTTCGGAGACTTTTCAAAGAAAACCACTCATGAGTTGTCCAAGAACAGCAACGGGCTGTATACAGCATTCCAGCTGCGAAAATTGAAACTTTAGTTCCTATATGAATTAATGATTAATTTAAGTTTTCCATCATTTTGGAATATATTCTGTGACTTCCCAGTGAAGCCCCTTAAATTTGAAATAGCTCTCTCTCTCCCCATATAATAGAAGGCAATCATAATCGTGTAGCGACTCGCTTCCTGCTCGAATCTCTGGGGGTTTTAATAATTGCCAGCCGGAATATAAGAAAGCTCCCGTCCGGCTTTCCTATGGGCTTATCTTGCGACTTATCTCGTCACCGGGAATTAGGTGCGCTAAGTCAGGGAACTAACTGGTCGGTATACTGAGCGTTGAAAAACCTGCCCTTCGAAACGTACAAAACGAAAGCGAAAATGTATGAAAATGAGTCGCCGATTTGGTTTGATGTAGTGGGTGATAAGCGTCGGTATGAATGACGCCGCACGCAAGCCGTCGCATTCCCTTGGGAGGCGTCGCGACGCTTTGACTATGGTCAGGAAAGCACTGAGGTGAATTAATTCCAAATACTCAATAGAAAACCCCAAAGAGAGGAATGGATAGTTATGATTGCAATAAAGCAAGACCACGACCAAAGACTTTTGAAAGAGTCTCAACGCAAGACTTTCCTAAACAAAAGTCCTAGTAACCCTTAAATATGATAAGATAATTGAACCGTTTACGCTTACGATTCATTACGTTACATACCAACGATTCACTTTAAGTGAGAAAACACAAAATTAGGATCCAAATATTTGAACAAGTGGGACATACATCAAACAGGGCTTAACATATTTCAGATGTAATTGATTCCAGACGTTTTTCCTTCTGAAGAAAAGAAAAAGCTGAAATCTAGAAGTAGATTGTTCTACTATTTTCCAACTTTCGCCTTGAGATTGTGGTGTAAATTAATAAAAAAAATTATGTTTTTTTCAAGACCATGCTTGACCATTGGTATTACGCAAAGGGCAAATCGACCAGGACAAACCAGCAAAATCCTTCAAATTCGAGCCTTGAAACACTGAAATCAACCGGTAATCGACAGACACCCCTGCAAATGGGGCCCGGTGTTTAAGAACGGGAACTAAGTGAATCACCACGGAGAATTTACCCCTCATTCCTGCGATTCATGTGGATATTTTAACACGAGACCCTCCTCCACTCCTGCAACTGCCCTTGTTTAACGTACCTTTTGTTGCGTGACCTTTTGCTATTCCGACCGTTAAAAATACTGGATTACTCAAGACAGCATTTATTATTCATGCCAAAGGGGGGACTTTTCCACCAAATTTAATTACACCATTCTCATTATGATCGACTGACAAACAGGACTTTATTTAGCAAGCATTTGGACTTCTAGTGTTTGCAAAGTAATATTTTTCCGGTCGGGCTTCTTTACGGGCCTTCAAAGACTTCAAAGTTCATAAATGAAATTAATCCTTAATTATTAAGCCGTTTCTTTTGCGTTTGTTGTTCTTTTGCATTTTTGAACAAAAGTGGCTGATAAAAACTCGTTTTTAGCTTAAATTTCGACACAAAATGTAGTGGTAATTTACAGCAATACTTCAAAAAATTATATAATTTAAAACTTTGCAATTCAAAAATCTAAACTTAACTCAAATTTTCTAACTAAAAATGCAATTTCTATCTCTGGAAGTAAAACTATAAATTTAAAATTTCGACTTTTGCTTACATACAAACACAAATTCAGACTTTCTGCTTAAAGTTCAGAACAAAATTCTTCATTTATCATTTGCACTTAAACTCCCAAAAATTCCGATACTTATAGGTTCAAATTTGAAGTAAAAGATCGACCTTTAACTCAAACGTTCCACTTGAAACTGCCATTTCAGTTTCTGGAATTGATACTAAAAATTTGAAATTTCGACTTTTACTTACGTATGAACTGAAATTCGGATTTCAGGCTTAAATTTCGAACCTAAAATTCGAAAAAAAAAATCGAATTTTAAATTTGAAATTTCGACATTTACTTATACGTGAACCCAAATTTGGGCTTCAAGTTTAAATGTAGACACAAAATTTGTAATTTACATCAAAACTTCAAAAAACTACAAAATTTAAAACTTTGCAGTTGAATTAAAAAATCGGACTTTAAATCAAACTGTCCAACTAAAAAAACTAAAAGAAAACTAAAATTGCAATTTGAATATCTTGGAGTAGAACTTAAATTTCGAGTTTTACTTACTTATAAACTGAAATTCGGACTTAAATTTAACCACAAATTTTATCATTTACAGAAAAAAATACGGAATTTAAAACTTTGAAATTGATCTAAAAAGTCAAACTTTAGTCAAACTTTTGATAAAATTGAACATTTATCTTTTATTTATACCTACATAAACTCTAACTCGCCCTTTCAGCTTAAATTTCGAAAAAACATCATAATTTGCTCTCAAAATCAAAAAAATTACGTTACTTAAATTTCAAATTTGAACCAAAAGACCGAACTTTAACTCAAACGTCCCAGTTAAAATTGCCATTTCAATCTCTGAAAATTAAACTTTAAATTGTGAAATTTTAACTTTTCCTTACGTATGAGCTGAAATTCGCTCTTTAAGCTTAAATTTCAAAACAAATATTATAATTTACACTAAAACTTCAAAAAATTGCGGAATTTAATTTACAATTGAACCGGAGACCGAACTTGAATCAAACTTTCCACCTGAAATTGAACTTTCGACTTTTACTTACATATTAATCCGGAGCTTAAATGTTGACCTAAAATTCGAAATTTACACCGTGAACTCGAAGATCTAAGATTATGCGTTCAATACTTCAACTCTCTAGTCATAAAATATTACTTCATCAAATCAATCCATCAAAAATTTTCGAGTTATTGACGACTTAAAATTAAACTGGAAATTTCGACTTAAAAATTAAAAAACCACCCGCAGTTCAAAAAATATTTCATTAAAACGTAAATAAAAACTCGTTTTCAGCTTAAATTTCGACACAAAATTTGTAATTTACAGCAAAACTTCAAAAAATAATGTAATTTAAAACTTTGCAATTGAAAAATATAAAGTTAACTCAAATTGAAAGTAAAACTCAAGTGACTCAAATGAAACTATAAATTTGAAATTTCAACTTTTCATTACATATGAACTGAAATTCAGATTTCAGGCATAAATTTTATAATTTGCCCCAAAAAAATTACGGAATTTAAAACTTTACAATTGAACTAAAAGATCGAACTTAACTCAAACTTTCCACCTCAAAACAAGATCTATCTAACTGCTTTGTCATATTTAAAATTTAGTAACATAGTTGCACTTGTACTTATTGTAAAAGTGGCTTTTAACCGTATCTGTATAATACCAGGATTTCGGAAGAATTTTAATTCAAAAAACGAGTGATATTGTTTTATTACAAAATATTTCGCAAACGCCAAATAAACGGTTTAACAAGTAAAAATATATTTGACTTTTTAATTGTCCCTTTGAAGGTTCATAATTCCTTAAGAAAGCCAGATCAGAAAAAAAGTATATGAAGTACTTGCCTCATTTCCAGGTCTTCTGAAGGCCCTATCATTGTTGATCGACAATTTCCGGACACCCTGTATAGATAAGTTCAGTTTCTTGACCGATATCGAACAATTGCAAGATGGTTGATTTTCTTTTTTAGCTACGAAGATTTCGGCAATTTATTGTCGCCTTTCTCAGAGTGCTAATTGTTTGACCATAAGAAGGCTGGGAACCCTCCGGAAAATTTTATCATTTTTTGTGCAGCTTGATGAAATATTCAATCTTTTCCTCACATTGTTTGGTCACAATTTGTCTTGGATTACACAAACCATTTATTCACGATCAACATGTTTTTCTGCAGAAATAACTGCATCATTAATTTGTATTTAGTGTAGTCTGTTTCGTTATTTCTGCAGAAAAACATATTGATCGTGAATACATGTTTTATGTAATCCAAGACAAATAAATTATGACCAAACAATGAGCGAAAGAACGAAAAGCACGAACTACAACTTACTTAACAGTGTTGGCTCTTGCCAATGCCAAAATAATTAAAAAAATAAATTAAAATGCAAATTCCCAAAGAAGGACCAACTCCGAAAAAAATTGACTGCACGCGCCCCTCTAATCGATTTACCAGTAAAAATTGACTCCATAACTGTATGCATATAAATCAGATATTTAGTTGAAGTGTTTGCTTCTAATAAACGCTTGAAGAACAGTCGCCTGGAAGAAGATTCCAGCAAAAAGCAATTACGCATAAACATTGAAGAGCCTGCTGACCTTTCCATAATCCGTTTTTATTGTCCATAATTCACATGGCAGCATATGGGGATATAATTATAGAACACTATTACTACTAGTACTGATTAATTTATCAAGTTTCCATGGGATGTTTATGAAAAATTCAATTTGGGGACAATCAAACACGACACGGATGACATTTCTGGTCATGGGCATTATTCTATTCATCGATCACCCTGATGGCCCCAATCACGACGGTTATTTTTAGTCCTCCTGCATGGACAGACGACTGGCTCCAAAGTGCATTCTTTGCGACATCGGTCTTCTGATCGAAAAATCGAATAAGCCCGACCTATTAGGGGCTCCATTGTCGAGCGAAAATCGCAAAATTGGATGTGAATTGAAATTTTATACACGAGGTGTGTAAAGTGAGTAAGAGCCTTTCTGGCGCCGAGGCCCGGGCTCCTATGGGAGTTACAATTTATCTAAAAAGAAATACTTATAACCAATGCCACGGCTCGAAGTTCGCTTCGATATTGGAGAAATTGGATGAAGGAGCGCTCCAAAGCACTGACTGAACCGGTTAGAGGATTTATGAAAAGACAGTTTTCGATTTACGCATTTGCTGTTAACTTTAGAGCTGCTTTCTAGAAAAATTTACTTTCTAACATCCGCTTTAGGTAGCTTCATATGCGATAGTTTAATTAATACTTTCAGTGCACAATGTTAGGAAGATATAATATAAGCCGTAAATAGTAAAGAGCGGCACTTTCAACTTTCAAAAGACCCGAAGTAATATTTTGGCTACTTGATTTACAGGTACGGGGTTTGCAGTCAATCCACATTTTTATTGTAAGCAATTAAGAATGTTAAAATTTGAACGGAGTTTTTCTTTTGAAGTCGAGGGGCAGAGACAGTTAATACACCTTTTACTCCGTTGCAGATTCATACGCAATTGAACTGTATTTCTTGCTCATCGAACATAACGCGACCCGTTATCTTCACATGGCATAGGCATTTTTTTGTAATGCATTCGTAATTGAATATAAAAAAATCCGTTTATGCAAAGCACGAATCCCAAAAATAACCCGACTTTCCATCGTTATCCGTAAAGGCCAAGTGCACTGACTAAATGTGCACGCAATTTATATATTTTTTTTGAGTATTTAACTAGTAAATCTAGTAATAATAAAACAGCAATTTTTCAGACTAATTGGCTGATATAAAACTTGGTGTAGGTGAAGAAAAACCAAAAGAACATTCAAAAACGTCTGAAACATTTTCTGACGATGAGTCAAAGTAAAAATTTCCAAATACAGAGCACACTTTATGTTACAAAATGCACTCGAAAGAGAATCTGCAGCTTTACTGATTTCTGAGAAAACAAACGTCAAACTTAGGACTGCAAAAGTAATTGCACAAATCAAAGCACATTCAACAATTTTTCTAAATTTGCCTGATCTTGACTCAAAATTAAAACTGTTTCTACAAATAAAACGCACTTTGCCCTACAAAATGCAACCGACAATAAATCTTCAGCTTTAGTGATTTATGAGAAAATAATTGCCAAACTTAGGCCAGTAAAAGCAACCGTAAAAATGAAAAACATATTCAAAAAAAATTCCAAAAATTGCCTGACCATGATTAAATCATGGCTTTCAAAGCTTTTCCTCATGTAGAAGGCACTTTTCCCTACATTTCCCTGCATTTGCGCAGGAAAGTAAATTTCAGCTTTACCGTCTTCTGAGAAAATAAATTCTAAACTTAAGCATGCAAAAGCAACTGCAAAATTCAAAAGTTTTTTCGAAAATTGCCTGACGATGACTCAAAATTCGAAACGTTTTTACATATAGTACACATTTACCCCTAGAAAATGTACCCGAACTGAATCTCCGCTTTACTGGCATCTGAAACAATAAACACCAAACTTAAACATGTAAAAGCAATTGCAAAAATCAAAAGCACATTCAAAAATTTTCTAAATTTGCCTGATCTTGACTCAAAATCAAAACTGTTTCTACATATAAAACGGACTTTGTCCTACAAAATGCAACCGACAATAAATCTTCAGCTTTACTGATTTATCAGAAAATAAATGCCAAACTTAAGCCAGTAAAAGCAACTGCAAAAATCGAAAACACATAAAAAAAATAAAAAAAATTGCCGGACCATAATTAAGTCATGGTCAATCCAAGATTTTCCTCATGTAGAACGCACTTTTTCCTACATTTCCCTGCATTTGCACAGAAAACTAAATTTCCGCTTGAAAAAATAAATGCTAAACTTAGGCATGAAGAAGCAACTGCAAAAATTTAAAGTTTTTTCGAAAATTGCCTGACGGTGACTCAAAATTCGAAACTTTTTCAACATATGGTACACACTTACCCCTAGAAAATGTACCCGAACTGAATCTCCGCTTTTCTGGCATCTGAAACAATAAGCACCAAACTTAAACCTGCGAAAGCAATTGCAAAATCAAAAGCCCATTCAAAAATTTCTCAAAAATTCCTTGACCATGACTGAAAACTCAAACATTTTTCATATATCATACAAACTCAACCCTATAGAAAGCATCCAAAAGTGAATTTGCAGCTTTAGTGATTTCTGAGAAAATAAATGCGACACGTAGGCCTGCAAAAGCAGCAGAACATTTAAAAAATTTTGAAAAATTTGCTGGAGACACTCTTCAACTTTACTGATTTCTAAGAAAATAAATGTCAAATTTAGGCCGGCTAAAACAACCACAAAATAAGCGATTAGTGTCAAACTCCGGTCTGCATAAACATGCGTCAAATACAAGCAAAGTTTTAAAAAACTGTCAAAAATTTCCTGAAGATGGTTCAATATCGAAACGTTTTTCGCTTATAGAGCAGACTTGGTCTTGCAAATGTGATAGAAAAGTGACTATATAACTTTGCAAATTCTTGAGTAAATAATTAAGACTTAATTTTTCGCAAAAATCACTAATAATTTTGAAAAATTTTTGAACATTGCCTGATAATGACTGAAAATCTAATCTTTTCAATCCTATGGATCAGACCTTTTCCTATAAAATACCTTTAATGACGACTCGCTAACTTTAGTTTTAGTTAGTTAGTTTCTGAATAAACAAATGCGAAGTTCCAGCGGCCTGAAAAAACAACAAAAATTCCTGTAAATGACTGAAAATCGAAATTTTGCTAACTAACATTGCCCCAGAAAATGCATAGAAAATTACTTTCTCACTTTGCAAGTTATACAAGAAATCAATGATAAACTTCGGCCTGCAAAAACAGGCTTGTAAACCAAACGCAATTTTTCAGAATTATCAAACATGTCCTAATGATTGTTGGAAATGAAAATATTCCAAAATTTATATGAGCGCAGAAAGCTTCACTTATATAAAGATCAAAATGCATCCAAAAACGTTCTCACTTTGCAAGTTACACAGAAAATTAATACTAAGCTCAGGCCTGCAAAAACCACCACAAAAAGCAGATGCAATTTTATCAGATTACTTTCGGTTCGAAACCTTGTCCAGTTATAGCATAAATAGCTCAATTTTATATTTTAAGTTTATATAATTGTTTAATTTTTCCCCTTGTAACTGTGAATGGAACTGAAAATTTCTGTCAGTGAACCAATCAAATTAAAGCCAGCCAGTCCCTTTAAACAACACCGGGGCGATTTGATATTAACACAGGGCGAGACCGAATTAATTTAGCTGCAAATTGCTAAATATTGTCATAATTCGAATATCTTAGTAATTAACCTCTTCTACTGCTTGGCGCTCGTTAATTACTGCACATTCAAAGCAGCCAATTCAATTGGTACACAAACGCGAAGCTGAAATGGCTGTATAGACACGATTTCTATTAAGTTATTTCGCTTCGTAATCTGATATCCAGCTATAAAACATGTTATGGGATCTGACAAGCCAAGTGAATT